TCTGTCTTTCCTTCGCGTGTCCCATTGTGTCATCCTGTGTCCCCTTGTGTCCCATGCATCCCCTTCTGTCCCCTGTGTCCCCTTGTTTCCACCTGTCTCCTTGTTTCCCCTGTGGGCATTGTGTCCCCTTTGTCCCCACGTGTCCCTTCGTGTCCCCTTGTGCCCCCTTTTCTCTGGTGTCCCTTGTGTTTCCTGTGTCGCCTGTCCCCTTGTGTCCCCTGTGTCCTCTTTCTCCCCTTGTGTCCCCTGTTTCCTCTTGAATCCCCTGTGTCTCCTTGTGTTCTTTTGTGTCCTCTTCTGTCCCCTGTGTTCCCTTGTGTCTACTTGTGTCCCCTGTTTCCCAAGCGTCTCCTTGCATCCCCTTTTGTCTCCTCTGTCCTCTTGTGTCCCCTGTGTCCCCCGTTTTCCCTTCAGTCCTCGTATGTCCACTTGCGTCCCCTTGCGTCCCCTTGCGTCCCCTGTGTCCCCTTGTGTCCTTTGTGTCTCTTGTGTCCCCTGTGTCCTCTTGTGTCCCCTTTGTCCCTGTGCCCCCGGTGTCCCTTGTGTCCCCTTGTGTTCCCTTGTGTCCCTTGTGTCCCCTTGTGTATCCTGTGTCCCCTTGTGTACCCTCTGTCCCCTTGTGTAACCTCTGTCCCTTGTGTCCCCTGTTTCCTTTTGTGTGCCCTGTGTCCCCTTGTGTTGTTTTGTGTCCCCTGTGTCTGCTGTGTTCTCTTGTGTCCCCTGTGTCCTCTTTGTTCCCTGTGTTCCTTGTATCCCCTTGTGTCCCCTTGTGTGCCCTGTGTCCCTTGTGTACCTCGTGTTTCCTGGTGTCCCGTGTCCCTTGGGTCCCCCTGTGTCGCCTGTGTCCCCTGTGTCCGCTTGTGTCCCCTGTGTTTCTTGTGTCCCCATTGTCCCCTTGTGTTCTGTTGTGTCCGCTTGTGTCCCCTGTGTCCCTTGTTTTCCCACGTGTCCCCTGTGTCCCCTTGTGCTACCTGTGTCCCCTGTGTCTCTTGCGTTCCCTTTTGCCTCCTGTGTCCGCTTGTGTTCCTTGTGTCCCCTGTGTTCCCTTATGTCCCTTTGTGTCCCCTGTGTTTTCTGTGTCCCCTTGTGTCCTCTGTTTCTTTTTGTGCTGTGTCCCCTTGTGTTCTTTTGTGTCCCATGCGTCTGCTGTGTTCCCTTTTGTTCCCTTGTGTCCCATGTGTCCCCTTTTGTTTCCTGTGCCCCTTGTGTCCTCTTGTATCCCCTTGTGTCCCCACGTGTCCTCTGTGTTCCCTGTGTCCCCTTGTGTTCCCTGTATCTTCTTGTGTCCCCCTGTGTCCTTTGTGTCCTTTTCTGTCCCTCTTTGACCTCTGTGTCCCCTTGTGACCCCTTGTGTACATTATGTCCCCTGTGTCCCGTCGTGTCCTCTTTTGTCCCCTGTGTCCCCTGTGGCCCCTTGTGTCCCCTTGTATTTCCTGTGTTTCCTCGTGTCCCCTTATGTCTCCTGTGTCCCCTCTGTCCCCTTGTGTCCGTTGTGTCTTCTTGTGTCCCTTGTGTTCCCTGTGTCCCCTTGTGTCCCCTGTGTCTCCTTGTATCCCCCTGTGTCCCTTTTGGCCTCTGTATCCCCTTGTGTTCCCTGTGTTTTCTCTTTTCCCCTTGTGTCTTCTATGTCCCCTTTGTCCCTTTGTGTCCCATGTGTTCCCTGTTCCTTGTGCCTCTTGTGTCCCCCATGTCTCCTTTCTCATTTAAAAATTATGAAATATTCCTCATATGCCTTCGCGGTTTTTTTCTTTTCGCACACTCAGGAGGTCAAAGGATGTGATTTTTCATGAAAAATAAAAAATCAAAACAAAACCTTCTGCTTGACTTGTTTAGAAAATAATTTCGTTAATTTTTAATAATCAACTAACAGCTCACTGATTTATCAATTTGGCGGACCAACTTGGAGGCCCGGGCACCCCAGCTGAAATGTTTGGGAACCCGAAGGGGTCCCCGAAAATTTGAATTGGGAGACCATCGTTTAGGCCTGGGTACCCCAGCTATTGATGAAAGTGGAAGTGCATTTATTGAGGATATTAGTAATGCCGGAATGCAAATTTTAGTGAACTACCCCATACTCTTAGCATATTTGGTGGTAATATTCACGTAAGTTTTGTTTTGAGGAGAAAAGGAATCCTTGTGTGTAAATCATCTTCTAGTGTATTTAATAGAACATCTCCGTCTCTCCTGCACACATTTGTTATTGATGCTCTTCTCAACTTTCCAATGCCATTCAACATAATTCTTACTTACACCTACACATCCCGCGTAAACGCGTTCAGGCGTCCTCTTGCTTTCGTAAGAAAGCTCGATCGATAGCAGCGCTCGTAATATTAAGAGTATATCCACTACCTGACATTAATTTAAATGTTGATTAAAAACATCATTCTATTCCAGGTCAAGTCTAATTTCTTTTCTTTCCCCTCACATTCAGCTCATTACACACGTAACCTGCGTAACTGGCGCCTGTCTGTCACCGCAGTGAACCGCTGGCAATCCCGCGTTTCTTTTTGCTTTCCCTCGATCATAGCATTCAGCTCATTATCCACTACCTGACATCAATTGAAAACATCTTCTATTCCAGGTCGTAACTGGCGCTCATCTGTCACCGGCGCCTGTCTGTCACCGCAGTGAACCGCTGGCACGTTGCCGTGACATTACTTCGCAACCCATCACTCATAAAATATCGCAAACAGCGATCTAAAGACAGTATAAACAGTGATGTTATCGCCTCTGTTTAAAGCCGAGTTCATGGAAAGTACAAGCTTCATTTCTTTCGCGTCGTTAGTGTCCTTGAAGGTTATTAGGTAGTTTAGGAAAAGTCGACTACAATGGCAAAGAAAACGCCAAATAGCAAAACGTTCAAAGATGATTTTCTGTCAAACATTGGGTGCTCTTCTCGGGAATTCAACTTCGGGAATTTCAAATTTTCCATTTTAAAGGAGTTTGATCTGACATTGATGAAGATTGGAAAACGTTCATTCATTTTCATAATAATACTTTAGTTGCTGTCGCCTTTTTCGTTAATAAAGCTCTCTTATGCCCCTAAAGTTACGATAATTAAACGGGCAACGAAAACGTGCAACTTGTTTTGCAACATTGCGGCAAAATTAAGCGACGTTGCGCCTTTTTACCACCCACATTCAAACCTGTCTGGCAACAAATCAGGTTGTTGCCAGTGCCGCATCCAGACCTTTAGATAAGGAGGGGAGCCGGTCATCCAGACCCTTAGATAAGGGGGCAGGTCTCCGGGCCCCTCCCCTGGATCCGCCACTGGCTGGAGGTTGGGAAAAGCTATGACAGAAGGTAGAGAGTAGTTCCAAGTAAGCTTGTTTTGCAGGAAGTGACGTAACTGCCGTGTATGGCGTGACTCCCGCGTAATTTTATCCAATCAGGAATCAGTATTCACGCTACTACAGGAACCTATACTATTTGTTGCAAGACAGGTTCAAACGTGGGAGGTAAAACGTACAACATCGCTTTTCAACACGTTTTTGTTGCCCGTTTTACCATCGCTCCCGGAAGATGACACAAAACGTGCCTTGCAACTGTTCCTAAAAAAGTATATATGGATGCAACCAGGTAGTCGCATTCAAAAGTATTCCTAAACAATCGCTGTCTAAATGAATAGAAGATGTGGACAAATAGATATACACATAGTGCCCAGAAACGTAATTTTCAACCGGACTACTGATTTAAAGTGGTTGCTGGTTGGGTACATCAAAAACCCACGCTAAAGTATTGCTCTCGAGATTTGGTATGGTCTCACCATAAAAAAAAATAGTTTAATTTTAAAAGTATCTGTAAAAAGTAAATTTTAAGTAAAAAGTTTATCTGCCTTAAATCAAAAATACAGTAGAAATTGACCAAAAACAATACATAGTACCTGCATATTGTTGAAAATTGATTACATGTGGGTCAGTGCAGTGGAACCTCGTTTTAACAGACCTCTATATAACAGGGCTGTCAACCCCCACGTCTTCAAATGTTGAGAATTGTTAGGGAACAAATGATTGATGACGTCAGATCGCCCGGACCTTGACGTCATTTGAGCAACAAATACTCATTGACTGTGATCGATGTATATGCCCCATAAAACAGTTCATATTAAGCCACATTATTGCTTAAATTACAATGGCATGCCAGAGTTTATGAGAAACGTGTTAACAGTAAAATAACTTCAAACCAAGCAAACAATTAAAATTTTTGGGTCGGAAAGTCGAGTCTACGAGAAATGGCAAACTGCGGTGATTCTCCTGGAGATTTTCGACTCTAATCTGGAGACCAGGAGATACGGCCCAAAATCTGAAGTCTCCCGGATCCGGGAGAGTTGACAGCACTGATATAACGAAGTCTTCGGCGCGGTATAACGAACGATTTTCTTCAACGCGGCTAAAATTACGATAAAACGTATAGCACAAAACGCAAACGTAAAGTATATCTTAATAAAACGAATAAATGCCAATTTGTGACCGAAAGATAACTAAAGATGAATGCGAAACAGATCAACGAGGATAAAATTTATGTGTACTGTTATTTAAGTATATAGTTTTGTTAACCTGTTCTTGTGTTTCTAAAACAATATAATAGCTTCGTATACCAATTTTTATAACAGAAATTGGTCAGATCCGGAAATGCTGGGCGCTGGAAATTAATCATTAACTATACCTCGCTATAAAGAGCATTTTGATTCTTCAGGGGCACCCAACGAGAATATAGTTCAAATCCACTTAAACATACATTAACATATTGTTAAACGTATTTTAGTATTTAAACGGTAGATATAGGCATATTTTTATCCCCTAAAAATTTTTCATCTGTTCGGATTTCCTAGCTGAAAGTCTAGTGATCCGAAAATTATAGGGATCAAAACTTACCTTTTCGAAAATTCCTGCCAGAAAAAAGGCTCCCGAAAATTCTAGGTGACCTTTTTAGGGTAAAAATCCGTTAAAAATAGGCAATTAGACCATTTTTTAGATGTTCGAAAATCCTAGGAGAGGCAGGCAAGCAAGAAATTTTACAACAAATGTTCCGAAAATTCTAGATCTCAAATCGTCTTCCGAACAGATATTTTCCGAAAATTGTCTGCTTCTTTTCCCAAAATTAAAATTCGTTAAATCGAGGTTTTCGATATAAGACGTATAACGAACAATTTTACCCAGTCCCTTGACTCTTCGCTCAATCGAGGTTCCACTGTAGCATGCACAGTGTAATAAGAAACGTTTTACTGAAAAGGATAATCCACGTTTCAAATAATGCCTTTTTAATTCTTAAAGTAATATATGAATGTTATAAATTTCTAACTTTAAGAGATGATTCGTAGTTTTCTAATGATTTTACTATTTTGTAATTGGAGTAAGCCTACATAATTATACTCCTTTTCTGAATTTCTGAATTTTCTGAGAGTGTTTCTCTCTCCACGGCTCTCATAACGCGAGAGAAGGACACTGACTCAATACAATTCCAGTTAGGATTTAGGTTAACATAAAAATAGCCTGCGTGGCAGGCGCTTAGAAAAGTAGTGGGCGAAAGAGAGAACGGGCGCGTGCGTTCCAAGCGCCTGCTACCCCGGCTAACATAAAAATAAACCCAAGAACTTGGTAGCAGTTTTATCAAGAGTGACTAGAGCTGGTTTTCTGGAATACATTTAGAATGTTCATGTAAAGGATACAACATTATTGTTATGGAATACTGATGACAAAATCTCGTCTGAGTCTAAGTAACACAAAAATCCTGTGTGAGGAACATTTAAAATTGTAAACTTTTCTTGGTTATTGTTTGCAAGTCTTACGATTGGTCGAAATCTTTTACCAAAAAAACACCCTTCAAATAAAATAAAATTTATTTCGATGAGTGCCCTTTTGTAGGTCAATGCAGTCTATGTGTGGGAAAACATCCCAAAACCCGGGGGGTACTCATGGGAATTCTTGGTGGGGGTGTGCCGCCCTGTTCTCCAAATCCTGACCCTATTTCAGACCATTAAGTGTTATTTTCCGCACCCGTTGTCAGACCAGACCTCTAAAAACCATACTTTTCAGACCTGGCCTTTAGGCAAAAATTATGTTATCATTTTTTAGATTGGAGCGTAAACAAACAAATTCTTCAAATCCATTTCGAGTTCGCATATTTCTCTTTCTTTCTTACTCATTTGTAATTGAAACGATAAATGCGTTCGTACACTCCTGTAGTTCCCTCGAAATCCACACCCGATTCTAGACCAAAGTGGGCAAGGTGTATACCCGTTTTCAGACCAAAACGGTGCAAGAATCCTACCCGATGGGGCGGCACATGCCTATATAGCTTATATAAGGGAGTCCCCCCCCCGGGGAAACATTCCTTTGTGAGGAAAGCGTATTCTACCATAACAAACGAAATTGGTTTCCTTCTTACCCGGATCATTACTTTAAAAAAAAGAAAGTTGCCTATCTGTTTCAAACTACTGTCAACTCTTTCTGAGATGGACACCTTGGGCAGTAAGTGTCGGTCTTAGAGAGATGTCCGTCTTGTAGAGAGTCATGGAAATAAAGGGAGTAAAGAAAGGCAGGGACCAACTCTGGATTTCCGTTGTACAGAGGTGTCTTTCATATAGAGAGTCAAATAAAGGGAGTAAAGAAAGGCAGGGACCAGCTATGGGTGTCCGTTTTACAGAGGTGTCTGTCTTATAGAGCGTCAAATAAAGGGAATAAAGAAAGGCAGAGACCAACTCTGGGTGTCAGTTTTACAGAGGTGTCCGTCAGAGAGTCAAATAAAGGGAGTAAAGAAAGGCAGGGACCAACTCTGAGTGTCCGTTTTACCGAGATGTCCGTCTTATAGAGGTGTCCGTTAAAAGAGTCAGAGTAAACTGTAGCCTTTTTTCCATACAAAATCATCAAATTTCCCAAATTCAGCATGAAGCGCAGGTTGATAACCTGAAAAGAAACAATGTCCATGTTTTACGTTAATACTATCACCAGTACAACGTACATTGCACATGAGCACACCATTATTTGTAGGCAGTTATTTGCAGGTCACGTGGTGGGCTCTCGGCCAATGAAAAGGAAGAAACATTTGCATCGAATGATAATAACTTTTATTGGCGATCATTAAGGTGTTTAGAAACGGTTTTTGGGCATGGAGACCATACCGATGTTTTTCAATCACCTTTAAAGTGATTTTATCCTTGTCCGATCAGTACAACATTTTCACCAGTGGTTGACTATGAATTGAAGTTTGTCAAAATACACTTGTTAATAAAATCGATATCACTATGACAACAATAAACAAAAACTATGAAATCGATAACATCCAAATTTTGGGCGATCTAGACCTGCCACTGAAAATCCGACACCAAGAACTATTAAATGGTGTGGTGTTTAGCATCTTTTCCGACAACTCGTGGGCCCGTGGGTATCCGCTTACGAGAGCCAACATGAACGGGTGGACGTACTCGTAAGGACGATTTTGTCAGAACCAAAATTTCTTCGACGGCCAAATTTTAATACCCATGATGCTCTGTGCCCACGAGAGCTCTGCTCTTTAATTAATACAGAAATTAATATTTACTTAAGATTTTAAGCCCTACTGACAGTGATCTGCATCAAATTTCTCCTTGTAATATCAGTGCTTTGTAAAACAGAGTGGTAATGAGAATTACGGGCATGATTACTATACACCAGATGAATTGGCTAGATATTTCATCAACTTCTCCCCTCTTCTTCTTTAGGAAATAAATAGGGGCAACAAATGGGACTTTAAATTTTGATCCTGGGGTTTAAAGGGTTAAACTATTGCACTCAATTTGTACTTAAAGAGGCTCTGTCACGCGGCTGTCAAGTATTTGTTTGTTGTTTGTTTTCCTTTTTTACTGTTTCTTTTTTCAAATATAACGCAAATTAAGCTAGTGTCCTTATTGGCTATGGAACGTGACAAATTACTTGTGAATGACAAATTCAGAGCATAGTAACAAACAAGTGTGCCGTCTCCCAAGCAATATATAAAAAGGTACAAACATCAAAAATGAACTTTGAAAAAACTGTTAGGCTAACAAGTTTTCAAAAACGACAATTGCAATCCGTGCTTCCTTTTCTGTTTGCTGTGTTTATAGTTATTTTCACGTTTTAAGCAGTTATCAGGGCCGTGGCCAGACTTCAGAACAAGACGAGGCAAGTTTCAAGCGCCGAACCCGCGAGCCGCTAGGGGGTCTGGGGGCATGCCCCCCGCAGAAAATTTTGAAACCTAGAGGCTCAGAAATGCTCTTGTAAATATTTTCTCTGGCATTTTTCTTCAGAAAAGTCAATCAAGGGCAAGTGTAGAAGTTCACTTTTTTATTGCCTAGCGATACTGGTGCCCGTTCAGCCTCGCATTAGCCATGCTTGTTCGGGACCAGGTTTTAAGTGAGCTGAAGTTTAAAAAAAAGGCCAAAATCAAGACGAGGCAACTGCCTTGTCTTGCCTCATGCTAGCTACGTTCCTGGTTATTTTTATGTTTCCCTCAATTTTTTTATCCTTCTGTTTGAATTTAGCACTTGGGACAGTTCGTGTCAGTTTACACTACGTAAGCAAACCGCTGACTCTCTTCTCCCAAGTTTCAAAGATGGCGCGAAATCCGGCGGACTGAGATGCACGACAGCGATTAAAAATGGTTCGTTGTTCTTTTCTGTGTTTATTTTAATACATTTCTTCACCAATGCTGATTGAAATGAGTTCTTTTCCTGCAGGATATTCGGTCTTTTTTCAGTCCAAAGGGAAAGACGTCGAAACCAGCCGCCTTGAAGCCGGAAGATAAACGCGGGAAAGATAACTTATCCACAAAACCTTCTGCTGGGAAAGGGAAAGCAAAGAGCAAGGTGCGTTGGTTGAAACCTTTCACGTTATTTTTTCGGCAATTGAATTGTATTATATTACGCTGCTGATAAGGTTTTAAAATAGGTAATCTTTTTTTACGTGTAATATCTATCAAAACAGAGGTAAACTTAATAATTAATTCTTTCTATATCCTAATATTTTGGGAATTGCGTGGACGAGAAACATATAAACTTACGCTTCCTTGTAGTTAGCTGTAAGGTTAAGACATAAGTTTACTTTAATTTAAAATAAATGCATTCAGTACTGACGTTTTTCTTTTTTCACTCAGATATTCATCGACTTAAAATTGTTATGATTAGAGTTCACTGCAGATAGTTGACACTTTGATGGATTATTTGAAACACCCCCCTTACCGCACCCCACCCCAAGTGGCTCATATGTGGCAGATATGTATACATAGTTTTATATACAAAGGTGTATCCTTCGATGTCCTCCCCTTCCCCACCCATTCCACTTGCAGGGGAGGGGGTGGGTGGCACTGAAGGGAAAATTGGCTAAAGGTGTTCTGCCAAGGCCTTCAAGCCCCGATGAAGGTGAGATCTTACTTCATGAAACTGATTTACTTGTATTTTCAGGGGTTTCAATGAGCACTGATGATTGACAAAGCATGTCGGCTACTTTGCTCAGAGCAGTCAGCTACATTACTAGTTTCTTGTGTAAGGGTTATCTCAATGGCAAGACTGCCTTGAACTTGGATGTACAAACCTAAAGTTTGCCATGTTTAGCACTCAGCTGCCACTCCTTCACAATCAGCTGTTGTATCTAATTTTAATACACATAATTATTTAAATTATTTATTTAATTTACTTTAGTTAAAGTACAACAGTAACCTGATAAACTGACCTTATGCTTTGCAAAACTCTTGTACTTCTTTAGGTATTATCGAGCAGTGAAGATGAGGAGGTAGCAAAAAAGCAGAGGCACAAGGAAACTCAGAAGAAAAAAGCAAGGAAGTGTATTGATTCAGGTAATATTTCAAAATGCTTTAATTTGTCAGCCCATTCGCTCCTGGAGATTTTTGCGGAAAAACGCGTTTTGAAGCTAGTCGAGTGGTTTTCTGGTCACTGTTGTGCTATAAAGAGCTAAAACTTACCACAAACCGGTTTACAGGTCGTACACTTCGCGGCCTTCTGATCCAGATGCAAAATGTCAGCTTGCGAAGTTCAGGCATGCGCATGACTTTTACTTTTCGCTTTCTCTCCTCCCCTCTTTTTCACTTTTCTTGCCTCATTTTTTTTTCTCTGGCTGGGCATTTTGTAGGCTTCATTTGGTGGGAAGAGTTTTTAGGAAAGCTTTTAGGATCTTAGGATTAGGTGAAAGGAAAGGTAGGTGAGCAATGGAACAAGATTTTCATGGAGATTTTCAGGTCAATGTCACATGGTTTTCTGCTTCTTTCTCTGGTGTCCTTGACTGAATTGTGCTCATTCTGGTATGGTTTCAAAGATCTCTCCACTCTGCACAAGTTAGCAGACAAAGTTGTCCTTGACCGTTAAAACTGATGACGTCACAAAGGGTAGAAAGCATGCGGATCCGCACAGGCTGTTGCAGGCAGTTCAGGGGGGAATGATGATTTCATTGTTTCATCTTGTTATATCTTGTCGTAATGCAGTGCTCATGATGAATTCTCTGGTTTACTCTATGAACCTCATTATTTGCAGTTGTTAACATGTATTTTAGAGATAAGGGTGTTGTTTTCAATGTTACACGTACGTGTACATGTACCCATCCAAACCCTTTGGGCCAGATAAGTAAACAGAGTTTAGCCAGTTGCGTTCTACTTCTAAGCCATTTTCAGTTTGCCAAACGCTTTTCTGCAAACACCATTTATTGTGAACGGTTCCATGAAACCATTACAGTGTAGACTAGAAAAGCATTTGTCTTTGTATGATAATCCACTAAGGAAGAGATGATCTGGAGGTCCAAAGATTTCCTAAACCATGGTCTAAGTCAGACTTCGTTTAAATAATCGACCCTTAGTGTTTTGTCTGTGCCTTAGTTTGTCTCTTCAGGCTTGGCAAACAAAGACCTGGGTCAGTCCATGTTTTTAAATTAAATGGAACTAATGGCTGCATTAGGAATTACAATGTACTTTTAAAAGGAAAATAAAATTGAATTTAAAATAGTTTTAATGCTTTTTGGATTTATTTTTTTAGACTCTGACGAAGACCCTCTTCCACCTAAAATAAGGTACATGCATGCCATTAGCATTCCCCTTTGTACTCTCTTATATTTATATATATATGTACAGTGTACTTTGATACATTTGTCTCTTTAAACAATCTATGTGCTGTAATAATATAGTTTTGGTGCTTCAGGGAGGAGCCAAAGTGCTTTCCTATCACTGAAGGGCTAGTACAGTAAAGCTCTTGTGGGTAACATCTGTTATTATTCAGGCTAACTAGCATTTTCCTTTGTCACATACAATGTATAACTTATCAGGGCTAGGAAGCAAATGAAATTCTGATTCAAAGTAGAAATTAATTTAGGTTGAGTACTGGTTGAACCTGAGAACAAATTTTAGATAATACAGTCGAACCCCGCTATTTCGAAGCCCCAAGGGAAGTGAAAAAAAGTTCGAAATAGCGGGGCTTCGAAATAACCGGGGAAGCGTAAAGGGGAAGGGTAAATCAAAGGGCATTCGATCTTCCTTCGAAATAGCAGGGACTTCAAATTAACCGAGTTCGAAATAGTGAGGTTCGACTGTATTGTACCTACAGTGTGTATCACTGAGCGGATCCTGTTTACTGTAGGTAGTGTCGACCGATCTATCGGTCGAAATAGCGGTCGACACTCGGTCGATAGTCAGTCGAGACTCGGTCAGTATTGCGGTCAATAGTCGGTCAAGACTCGGACGATAGTCGGACAACACTCGGTCGAGGCATGGTCAATAGTCGTTTCAGATGTGTCTTGGCCAATATAGCTTTTCGTTCACCGATACTTCACCAACACTTCACCGATAGTTCGTCGATGCTTCACTGATGTATCGGTCAGTAATTGGTCAACACTCGGTTGATGGTAGGTCGACACTTGGTCGATAGTCAGAAGATAGCAAGAATACCTTAAAGAATTCATGTGGAGACGATGGCATGGTGAGCCTTACCCCAATGGCTGTTTAGGTCGACTGATGCAGGACATTGCAGAACAGTATCCACTGTAAATAGAAATCAATGACCTTTGTTAACTAGCATTTCCTACATTTTTTGGTTGGAAAACAACAAATTCGAAAGCATTTTCTAGCTTGGACCTAACTATTTTTTAAATTGTGTTTGTAAGTCCATTCTTTTCACAACACAAAATAATTCTTCCTTATTATTTTAATGTATCTCCTTTAGACTGTATCCCTATATCTCTTTATATTACAGAAAGGCTGCTTCTAAATCCAAGGGAGATGTTTCAAGGCCTAAGAAGAGCAAGAGGACCAGCAACTTTGATGACTCTGGTAAACATAAGTAATTTTTATAACAGGAAAAAGTGGTGGCCTACGAAAAAAGCATTCCTTAAAAAACAGATGAGATTTACGAAAGATGCTCCTTGTAATACAAAGTAGATTAATAGTTATGTCTGCCTGCACCTTATTGTCCACATTATTTCATTATAAAGAGAACTTTCAATAATCATTCCGTAAGTATCTTTATGAGAGTATAAAGCTTTGAAGTTTTGTTGCACAAGAAAGTTAAGCAACAATACTTACAACAATCCTTTGTGTGCTATGAGAAGAAATATACAGTGTAGGATGTGGTGCATGATGTGACGAGTGATAACCTTCTTTTATGCAATACAATACTTTACATACAAAAATATGCCCCTCATCCCCTTCTGCCTTTTTGGCAGCTGAATGTTAATGATGATTGATGATGGTGACTACACCTAAATTATAGATATAACTGTTAACAACATAAGGTCCCAAATTTCTTAAGCTTTCTCTATGAATGGAAAACTTTTAGAATTTGTTATTTTATTTACACCTTCTGCTACTTCTGCTATATAATGTTAATGATGATGATGATTGATAATGGTGACTACACCTAAATTATAGATATAACTGTAAACAACATAAGGTTCCAAATTATGTTCTTAAGCTTTTTCTATGAATGGAAAACTTTTACAATTTTTTTTATTTTATTTACACCTTCTGCTACATAATGTTTAATACTTAATTGTATATACAGTACATTTGCGTGTAATGTACATGCATTTTATGTTAACTGTCCTTATTCCTTCTTGTGTTGTCATTATTCCCTTCTCTTCATGCTTCAAATGCCTTCAATCAGTATAACAAAATTATTTCTTTTGTAGATGAAGAGGAAGTCATTCCTCCAAAACTTAAAAAGTCTGTGAAGCAACCAGAAACCAAAGCAAGAAAAGAAGTTGTTCATGTGAAGGAAAGGTACTAAACAGTTATTGTGAAACATTTCTTTACTACCTCAGGGCATTAGGGAGCTTAAGCAACAACGGCAATGATGCATACAAAAAATGTCACTGAAAAAGTGAATTCACACTCCCTCAAACTTTATCGTGCTTGTTCCATCTTGTTCAATTTGTAAGATCTTGGTGGATTTTTCTGGAGTTCAATTCCAAAGGACTGTATCAAAGTTCAGAAAAAGAAAAAGGAAGTCATTGTCTTGTGTTCACTTCGCTATAAAAAGTGAAATTAGGCAGTTTCACGTCATAGTCGTGCAACAACGGCAAAGAAATGTACAAAAAAGGGTGATGCTCGTGCAAAGTTGTTGTTTTGCCAATTTAAGCCTACTGTTTTTTTGCCCACTCTTGTTGCTGTTGTCTTTGTTGTTGCTTAAGCTCTCTATTTTCTGAAAAATAGCCCTCTAGAGAGAGCATGTCTTTACAGTGTGCTGTTGTGCACTCATTTTATTGGCTTGCTATGTCATAATTATAAGCATGAAACATAAAGAGGACTTTTAAACAGAACTACCTCTAAGGCCCTTGTTTTTTGTTTGTTTGCTTACCTCGAAATCGTACATGTACCATAGAGGAGATTAGTTGCAATTCTTAATGTGATCCCCATTCTGCCCACATACATGTATGTCATTAAATGAAGATCCAGGAGTGATTCATGTACAGAATAACAGTCCTATATTTGCTGCAATTTAATTATCTAGGTACAAATAAATTTGATAAAATAAAAGCTGTCTTATATGATCATTGTTTACTGTGCTGAACACATTGAATTGATTTTTTCATAGTCCTGTCAAGCCAAAAGAAACTCAATTAAAAGCCACATCTGCACTTGACTTCTTTGGATCATCTCCTGCTGAAAGAGCATCGAGAAAAGTGTTTGCCACAAAGAGAAAACAGGTTTGTTGCCTTAAAAAATAATGCAGAGGAAAAAACAGGCACTAGTAATATCTCTTGGTTAGTACACTGTGACTGGTGAATTTAGTGGCCATATTTCACTGTTCAGAGCACTAAATTCAAATGTTTGTTTTGGTAGAAATCCATGCCAGAAAAACAATGTTAAACTGGTCTTAGTTGTTAAAACGTCAGATAGTGCTATCCAACAGACAAATTATTACTGTCCAGAACATAAGTATTAGGGAAATCAATTGTGCAATCCACTGGATAGGGATTTATCCAGTCGATAGCATTATCCATCTTTTGAATAACTGGGGCCTGCTTGTTTTGTGGAGTTTTGGATTGTGAGTATGTTACATGTACATGTCAAAAAAAAGATTTTGATGGCTCGGTAAAATTTCCCTTTGTTTACAAGATTTAATCATCAGGGACTGTCCTGCTTAAATTGAAAACGTCCCCCCTCAAGTAAAACCCAGCGATGGGTGGACATATCTAACCAACCTGCTTTTCGTGATCTGTACTGTAACTTTACATATGCAGGGTTCTCAATAGAAGGCGGCACCTGGCAATTGATCGCCGCTTACGTTGGGATTTATAGCCGCTTACTTTGTGTTTAAGTCGCTTTTCTTTGCTTTGTTTTGACACCTCTGGCTTTGCTGAAGAGCCTCCTACTTTATCAGTGATCACCTCCTATTTAAAAATCTATTGAGAACCCTGCATGTGACTGTATGGAGCCCCTCTTTTTCTTCTTGTTTTATGCTTAGGAAGTAAACCGGGGTAAAAACTTACAACAGACTTCAGACTCAGTAGGAGGTACATTTTGATGTACTACTGTACATAATAGACTTTAATGGCCAACTCATGATAAACATAATTATTATTCAAGATAAAATGTTTCTCCCCTGTGCAGCGTTCTGATGAATCTGAAGAAAACGATGACTCAAGAGAAACAAAGCAAGGAGAAATCACAGAGGATAAGGGAAAAGGAAGAATAGAAGATAGAAAAGTGAATGGAAAAAAAGAAGAACAGCCATCAAAGAAACGAAAAGAGGAACCACCAAGTCCTCACAATGGTGTCAAGAAACCATCTCCTGAAAAGTCAAAAAAGGTCTGAAGAATACTTAGTAAAAATTTAATTAATTATGTACATGTATGCATGGTTTGCACTGGGCTGGGCACTAAGAATTACCACTTTGTAACTTTTTCATGTATTTAATGTAGAAATGTGAAGCGTAGCTTGAGAAAACAGGCAACATTTCTCAACAAATGACAAAATGAGGAGGAACCAAATGCAGAAATTTCATATACCAATGATGTGTCACTACCCTTATCTGGGCAGTGCTTCTGATTGGTCATGCTGTGAGGGAAACTTGCTTGAACCAATCAAAAATATGTTCGACCCAGATTTGGGAAGAAACATGTCATCTTATGGAATTTCTGTGCTCATTTCTCAGTCATCATCACTTTTTGATTTGGTTGATCAGACAAAAGTCTTTTAATTACATGTAGCAGATTGCATAACCAAAATTTTTAGCTAAAACATGCTTACCTGCATGATAGTGATAGTGTACGTTTAGGTTTGTCCAGCTCCGCAAATATTCTCCAAATAACAGATGTCGCCCTCCGAGTTGTCTTCTTGCTGTTTTTGCTATGTTTTTAGCCATTATTTCACCTAGTTCCAGCTGTAGGTCTTACTTTTGAAATGAGTGAAGTGTCCACCATTTTAGTTTTCACAACAAAAACAACTCAACCTCATCCCCAGGTCTTCTCGGTTAACGGTTCAGTAACCTCTGGAAGGCTGCATTTTTGACGTCATTCCCTCGTTAAACACAAAATTCGTCCAAATTTGGTCACCAGTAACTGGTTATGGTGAATTATGTGCGTGCTGTTAGCCAATCAGAATTGGGGAAATATTATGAATGAATAAGAATTTATTTTATTGTTCAGCAAAAAAAAGATTTTTGTTTGTGGATTTTTTGTCTCATCATTGATTGTTATTATTAATTTTTGTAATGTCTGCAGACCCCAGAGAAGCTGCCAAAAGTCACGCCTGCTAGCAAACTTGCAGCCAAAGCTGCTGCCACAGCCTTAAAAACCTCAGAGGTCATACCTGAAACTCCTGCAAGAGAAACAAAAAAAGATAGCCCTCAAAAGACTCCTTCTCCAGCTAAAGAAAGGAAGGCAGTTAAAAAAGAATCTCCAACCAAGAGTACACCAAAGGCTTCAAAACAAGATGAAACTCCCGACGAAGTACCACCATCTTTGGAAAAAAGGAAATCTAGTTATCGCAGTTTCATGCAGCGGGATGGTCCAAGAGCAGTGGGCTCAAAACCAATCCCTGAGGTTAGTTGTTTCCCACGACTTGATTTTGCCTTCAGCAAGTAGAAGGATAAGCTACTATGTACATGTACAGATACCGCATACCAGATTTCATTCATTGGGGCTTTATTTCAAGCATCCCATCTAACGTCAAGAAACTGTTCACTCTCTTCTTTTTTTTTTTTTTTTCATCTCACCTTGTAGCAGGGCTGTCACAAAAGGTACAAACGGTTCAAGGTTTTCAAAGAAAATTAACAAAAGGAAAACAGAACGTAATTAAGTACTTCCAACTGCTCATCTTCAGCCTCGCTATGGTATATATGCCTGGGCCTGGCAGTCAGCCCTTAGTGACAGCTCTGAAATCACAAGAAGGTTTCAAAATTACCTTACTTGGCTGGAGTGAATTCCTCTAGTTGCCCATGGTCAATTTTTATTTTTATTTTAACCTACAGGGAGAGGAAAATTGCTTGGAGGGCCTTACATTTGTTATAACTGGAGTGTTGGAAAGCATAGAAAGAGATGATGCAGCTGATTTAATCCAGAGATATGGTGGAAAGGTCACAGGGTCAGTCAGCAAGAAAACAAGCTATCTTGTTGTGGGCAGAGATGCTGGTGAAAGCAAGATATCCAAGGTTAGAAGAAATTAAGGATTAAAATAATTATTAAGGATTGCTTTGTTTTCGTAGTCAATTGATAGATATGATAAATTAAATCAGGTTGATTCTCAATTTCCCTTGTCTCCTAGTCTTAATTCATGAATAATTAGGGCTGGGAGACGAAGGAAAATTGAGGATCAACTTAGGTTAAAAAATTTTAATGTGAATGTAATGTACATGTACATTGTGCGTAAGACCATAGAATTATTATGTGCAACCCTAACAATGTTGTGTTCTGTACAGTCAACTCTTTCTAAGCCGGACACCTTTTGGACCGGTACTAAGTGTCCATCTTAGAGAGATGTCCGTCTAATAGAGAGTCAAATAAAAGGAGTAAAGAAAGGCAGGGACCAACTCTAGGTGTCCGTTTTACAGAGGTGTGCGTCTTATAGAGAGTCAAATAAAGGGAGTAAAGAAAGGCAGGGACCAACTCTAGGTGTCCGTTTTACAGAGGTGTCCGTCTTATAGAGAGTCAAATAAAGGGAGCAAAGAAAGGCAGGGACCAACTCTAGGTGTCCGTTTTACAGAGGTGTCCGTCTTATAGAGGTTTCTGTTAAGAGAGAGTCGACTGTATATCCTAGAGGTTGATTTTCCCTGAATACCAGTGATGAACTTCCCTGAACCTTTCTTTATTATTATTGTTATTATTATTATTATTATTATTGTTGTTGTTGTTGTTATTATTATCATCATCATCGTTATTGTTATTGTCATTATCATTTTATTGTTACAATTATTATTACTATTATTATCATTGTCATTATCATTATATTATTATTTAATGGTATATAATTATTTTTTAAATTCAAGGCCAAGCAGGTAGGTACAACACAATTAGATGAGGATGGCCTGTTTGAACTGGTCAAAACAAGACCTGGCAAAAAGATCAGCTATGAGCCACCTAGTGTTGAGAAGAAGCCAAAGAAGAGAGCAAAGGCTGAAGTAGTGGAGTCAACAGAGACGTTAAGTCAAGGGAAGGATCAGTCAGAGGTAGAATCATCCCAGTTGAGTCAACAATCAACATCGTCTCCTGCAACTCAAACACCTTCTGGATCACCATCACTGAAAGGTTTGATTCATTCCTTTGACTGTTTTTAAGTGGACATCCTGCAGACCCTCCGTAGAGCTGAAAATTGGCCCATATTTGTTTCTAAGGGCTGGGGGTACATAACCTGTGATCAGACCTAGTTCCTTTCTCAGGGTGTGCGAAAAGTCAGATGACAGACACCTGACCACGTATTAAATTTGCTGTTTTAAAAAGTAATGGTAACCTGATAAAGCACAAAGAGTCCAGTTACAAGGACAATGTAGACTAATGTTCCCCTTTGCCTTTTTCTTTCAAACAGACCTTTGTTCCAAGTTTCCCAAAAGCCTCTTGCACCCATATCTAACATAATTTCCTAAATTTCCCCTCTCTTCCAGACCCATCCCCCCTAGAAACCAGTAGTAACCCATAGTTAGGAAGTGAGGCCGAGCATGCGCGTTTACCTTAGAGATGTGATTGATGAGAACCACTTTCATAATGAATCAGAGAAAGCCCTTTTAGTTCCTTCCAGCTTGGGGTGCCTGTGGTTATTTCGATTGAAACAATGACTGTTTCATCACTTGCATGTGCGTTCACGGGATTACCATGACATCGGACGGACGTTTAACTCAACACCAGGTCCTTCACGGCAACATACCATGCATATTTGTACGCAGAACACGGGCATCCCAAGAATGTGGACAGATTTTGGAAAAACCTCGTTATACAGTTTATAAAGTGCAGCTGAGCAAGAAAAGTCTGCAGGCTCGCTTTAGCTCACCCGCAATAACATGTACCGGTTTACATTGCTAACTTTAACTTTCCTTCTTCAGGGGAACCTAGTTTAATGTGGGTTGATAAGTATCGCCCTCGCACAGTAAAGCAGATTATCGGCCAGCAAGGTGATAAGAGTAACATGAGGAAACTAATGAACTGGCTTAGAGACTGGGAAAAAAATAGGAAGAAGCCACCATCTAAATGTAAGTCTTATTGCATTAAATATTAAGTGATGATTTTTATGATAGCAAGGACTTAAGGCCAATCGTCGAACTTTTCATGCTGCGAATCAAACTCTAATTTTGGTCTAATGAAATTAAGCTAAGATCACCTTTGGGTCAGGCGTCGAACTTAGGTCGCGTCGAACCAATCAACTGAATCAGATAAGTAATAAATTTTCTCCCGAACGAGACTAAATATACATGTACCTTAAGTTTAGTTCGTCAAAAGTGAAGATCAACGTTTGTCCCAGAGACGATCTTAAGACGTTCTATCCGCTGCTTCCAAACTCATTCAGACCAATTTAACTGATCCAGACGTCGAACTTTTCATGAACTTAACTCCCTAAGTTCGGTTCTTCTCATAAAAAGTTCGACATTTGGCCCAGGCCTTTAAAAGCGACCACCACCACGACGGCAACATGAAAAATTATTCACGGGATGTATGAGCAAATCAACAGTTCGACACGAGCATGTCGCTTTTGGAACATTTGGTTTTTGTGCGACGTTGTATGGAGGATGTGAACACGCAACGGCTAATTTTCCTTTCCCTTTCTGAACTTGGATAGAGTCCTTAAGAATCTAACTGCAAGAGAATTAGCCTACAATTGTCTGATTGGCTAAAGCTAAATAAATACGACAGATAACAATGATGGTACATGTAGAAGTTATTATTATGATTATTAGGTTAATAGTGATGACGAATGCAGTGTTCTCCTTATCAGGCGGTAACCGGTAAAATTTACCGCCTGAAGCAACACTTCTTACCGCCTGCAACTGCTTAAAGGTTTACCAAAATTAAATAATTTTTTTTAAAAAAAAATATGCGAGTTGTGATCCGATCCGATCCGATCCTCACAAGAAAATGAATGAATATGTGGAAAAGTATAGCTACCTAAGTACAAAACGTACAACCCAAAAATAATGCACGTGCAGGAACTTCTTTTTGCGTCCGCAAGCTGGCAACTTCGTGCGGCTTTTTGCAGGGCGCTTGCGCTTGAATCCAGCAAGACGCAAGAACTTCTTTTGCGGTTATAAATTTAACCACAAGAATTTCTTAAAATTATCTTCTGCAAAGGTAACCTTTTAAGCGAGAAAATGTGTACAATTTTGATTTTAAAAAAAGCAGCGCTTCAAAAAATAAGGAACGATCGTAGTATGTTTCACAAAAGAGCCGTGTAATTTGAGACCGCACGTGCAACTGTGTCAACTTAAAGCGCTCTCGGAAAAAAAAGACATGCTAAAGTAAAGTAAGGAATATTTTCACCAAAGGCTCTTTCAACTTAGCGCAATAAAGTAATAATAATTCCCATGTTTTCTTGTGGGCAGAAATTCAACGCCTTTGGTTTGTTTTGCCGAGACTATGGTATTGTACTATGAAATGATCCAAATAATCGAAATGTTCGAAACTACAGATCGTTTTGTTAAACAAACGCCTCACACGCTTTATCTAACTTTGGAAAAGCTAAACGACTGAAGTGTTCACTTTGCAAAAAAAGCAGAGAAAGCTGTTCGCTTTCCCAGGCAACTTTTTACGAGTGTACTTTCATGATTACCTTTTGCTGCCACAGAGTGAATTAGTATCAACGCTACAAAACGGTGTTGTCACAAAAAGGTAACAAACACTACAAACGTGTTTCAGGTTAACACTTATAAAGAACTTCATGCGCCTTCTTGAGACTTGCGGTAATTTTCTAGCTTCTTGCCGTGAAGATTTTTGACTTCTTTCGTAAAATAGGTCTTAAAATATGGGAATAAAAAATTTCCCAGTGAAGGCGGGTCCATGTCCCTCACTCCACTGTCCCCCCTCCCCCCCTCTTAGAAAAGTATATATTTTTTGCCTTACCGTCCACGAATGGTCCCTTACCTGCTGAGCTAAAATTTAGGGAGAACACTGCGAATGACAATGGTCACATTTGTCAATATTGTTTTGATGATGCTGACGACAATGATGTAGGCGGTGTCTTGAGTGGTGATGATAATGATGTTGACGAAAACGACAACGACGACGATGATGATGATGATGATGACGATGATGATGATAATGATGATGATGATTAGTATTATCTGAAGACTTGTATAGATCGAGCCAATAATTGTTTTATGATTCATTCAAAACATTTATCACCTAAAAAATGCGTACCTCGATCGATGTAAAGTTCCGGCCTTCATTTGCCTGTTTCTCTACAAATTCAGGATATAAAAGGATGTTTAGTTTATCAGATATTCTTCAAATAGCAGTTGCCATTTGTTAAGTTGTATTTTTGCTGTTCTTGCTATGTTTTGTAGGTTATTACTGTAGTTTGGCTCTTCCTCGCAAAACGTGTGGGATTTGTCGCCATTAACACCAGCTCAACCATGGCAGCTGAGCCACCGCGCCCAGCTTTATCCCCAGGGGCTTCTAGTTTTGCCGTCCCATTTCCTGTGAATATTCTGTACAATTGACGTCATCGATACCAATATTGCAGAACGTGTTTCAAATTTGGTCAGCGCTTGCTGGTTATGAAGAATTAGTCGGGGAATTTCAGCTAACCAGAAACGGAGAAATAGAGTGAATGAATGAATAATAAACATTATCACGTTGTTCATCGTAATGTTCCTTCTCTTCAATCAGCTTTTTTTATTCCAGCCTCGTTCTTTAAAAAGGACCAAGATGGATCCATGCATAAAGCTGCCTTACTGTCTGGCTCACCAGGAGTTGGTAAAACAACAACAGCCACGCTCGTGTGTGAAGAGCTGGGATTCAGCTACGTTGAAATGAATGCAAGTGATACAAGGAACAAGAAGACACTGGAGGAGCACATCTCCCAGTCACTTAGCAACAAAACCATGGATGGTTTTCTACCTGGTAAAGCCAAACTAAACTTCTTTTTTTATAATTATTATTTTTTTAATCAATTATTATTTTCTTTAGGCAACATGTGGTGTAGATTTTCCCTTGAGAAATACATTGCACAGTTTAAGGTAACAATCGGCGACTAAATTCATTTGAGATACTTTACTCTAAAGATCCTTTCTGATGATTTGCCGACTTAAAAAGTGGAAAATAAGGCTTCGCCCCCGCCCCCACCCCCTCACTCCATGCAGTGTTATGCCACTGTTTGAGCTACCTGTAGGAAACAACAAATCTCCCACCTTTGAATGGAGGGGTGGGGGGATGGGTCTGGAAGAGAGGGGAAATTTAGGAAATATATTAGATACGGGTGCAAGAGCCTTTTGGGAAACTTTAAGCAAAGGTCTGTTTGAAAGAAAAAAGCAAAGGGGAACATTAGTCTACATTGTCATTGTAGCTGGACTCTTTGTGCTTTATCAGGTCATAAAGCCGATCCCAAGAAACACGTGCTGATTATGGATGAAGTTGATGGTATGGCAGGCAATGAAGACAGGGGAGGAATGCAAGTAAGGATGATAATTAATTGGAGATAAAATGAATTGGCATTCCCATCTGCAGTTAAGGCGATGTTACACGAGACGATTCGCAACGGCAACTTTTAGCGCAAAACAGCGTTGCAACATTGTTGCGATATTGTTTCGAATAGTTACAACATTGTTCCAACATTGCAACTCTGTGTTGTGCTAAAAATCGTCATTGCGAATCGTCCCGTGTGACATCACTTTTAGTCTGTCTATCTGGCGGAATTTAGCGCACTTGAGTTCTTTATTTCTCGAATGCTTTTGTTTTGGTGGAGACTAGCGAGAGGAATGGGGATTTTCCGCTGCGGTTCTGTATTCTGATCTCTTTACTCATACGTGCTACTCGTTCGAAGGCTGATTAGCACTAAGCCAGGGTTAGATTTTAACCCGGGTCTCTTTTTCTTTTCTTCAGAAGCATTTTCTCGGACAATTTTCTCTATTCTTTTTAGAGTAGCCAATCATCAAATTATATAGTAGACAAGAAGAATTAAACTGAATTTGCTTTTGAAGCTTTCATTACGGAATTCAAATTTTGCACTAACCTTGGCTTATCTTAACCCAGCTTTGAACACCCCGGCCCAGGGAAACAAACACTGTCGTTTGATCCTTCTTTGTGCAAAGTTCCTTGTTAACTAAAGAAATGGATTAGCACTTCAGTTTACAACAGTAATGTTTATTAAACGAGAATAATACCAATTTCTGTAACAATGAGTATCCTCTCCAGAAGCCTTCTTACGGCACATTTTCTAAAAAGAAATTCCTGGGTTCTTTTACTTCCCATTCTAAATGATGTGTAACGGTGAAGGAGACAAGGCTAATGGGTTAAGGTAATTCCCTTGTTTTGCACTGGCCATCATCTGCAGCAAATAATGTTAATTTCGACATCATGAAGGTGACGTTGATTTTCACCAGTCGCCTGGAGAGAGGTAACAAAGGCTCCTTCTGAAATCCAAATGGTTTGAATAGCTATTAAAAACTCGCCCCAGTCCCTGTGCGCAATGTCCTCATTTGAAGCCGAAATTCCCCCTTTGTTGTGTTTTTTTACTCGTTATGGCTACAAGAACAATATATTTCAAAAATATCTGGATTGTAGAAGTTGTATTATTTAGATATGAATGACATAAACTCCTCATTTTAGAGTTACAAGTAAGGGAGTATGAGATAATGTTAAAACTGTCCATTTTTCTCACATTTTTTGCAAGATCGGGCAATTTGAAGTTACTTTACTGAGAAATCATAGCCCAGACAAACAAACAAAGCAAGATAGTGTTTTGCTACATAATAAGAATTTTTGACGATTGTTTAAGTTTGGAACATTTTGCGCGTAACTAGGAAGAAAACACTTAGAATTACATGCAGGCACGCTGGGCGAAATCAAGCTCCGGATTACCCCATCGTTTTATAACAGTTTTTCAATGTCCTATATTTGGCTGTCATGTGTGCCAGGTTTGAAAAAATGTGGATCGTACATCCTTTTCAAGGGAATCACCTTAACGTCATCTCTCATTAACGCGATCATCTGAATTGAGACAAGGATTTGATAACAGCTAGCATGATCTTAGCAGTCCTTTAAAGGCCTTAGTTTGTAAGGTTGTCCGGCTGGGGTTTGAACTTACTGCCACCGGCGCAGCTGATCGACGTTCTTCCAGCTTAGTTTAACGCCGATTGTGGGCTTTCTTGTTTTTAAATTTGTAATGATCACCAACACCTATGAAAACGATACCTATCTAAGTTTAGGATTTGAGGATATCTTTTGACATCTGTTGTTGCATCCTCAACAGGAACTTATTGGACTGATAAAAAACACTAAAATTCCAGTCATCTGTATGTGTAATGACAGAAACAGTCAAAAGATCCGTAGCTTGGCCAACTATTGTTTTGACTTGAGGTTCCAAAGGCCTCGGGTAGAACAGATTAAGGTAAGTGTTGTCCGGTATAATTGAGTCATTTATTTTAAAGAAATTTGACTTTTTTCTCATGACGATGTAAGTGCATCACCTTCCTACATGCCAATTCCTTTTGTTGGTCGGGTAACCAATACAGTGGATTTCCGCTCTACGGATGATCATGAGGTTTCTTTAGGATGAACTTGTTACAGTAACAGATGAGGAAAAAAGATAAGGAATAGACCTTATTCAAGATACCCGCCATCTTTGCACGCGCCTTAGTATTGATGGGATAAAAGCAATGTCAAGTGGTATTTTAGGGGGCAAACAAGTGTTAAAATTTGCTAATACGAGTAGTCGCGGTCGAGTTTGAGTATCCCCTCAAACCTATAGGGCAGTATTAAATTTGCAAAATGTACAGTTCAAGTTTCGACAAGTTTTACGTCATTATTGCCTGCTGTGAGGACATCTACGGTCGCTACTGCATTAAAATAAATAACAACTATCACTTCCACCCATAATTTGCCATTATTGTCTTGAAGATAAAAAGTTCTTCATTCTCTGTTGTCTAAAATACACAAACACCACCGCGATTCCTTGTATTGACTATATTGACCGGGTTCCACTGATAGCTCTTGGGAAGATTTGTAGATAGGCTATACTTTCTAAAAGTCTCTCTTGGTTTGGTCATCAGTCGGGAGAGAAAACAGACTTTCCTCGCGTGAAGCGCGCCATTTTTGTTTTTTTTGTAGTTGTTGTTGTTGTTTCGACCCGATTTTAGTATAGGGCGTTGACGTGTCGGGCTCTTGCTCAGTAGCATTAACCAACAATCAGAGAGCGTTATGTTGGGAAAAGAATTGTCCTGCTTGTTTCGCTTCTTTCGAGTTATCGGGAGTCGACTATATCAGTTAAAGTACAGTAGATATAGTGTTTTCTTTTTCTTGTTTACCAGGGAGCTATGATGAGCATCGCTTTCAAGGAAGGACTCAAGATTCCTCCCCAGGCCATGGAGCAAATTATTCTTGGAGCCAACCAAGATGTCAGACAGGTTAGCTAAACAAACTTCTTTTTGTTTTGAGGTGGGGGAGGGGTAAGGGATGGATGGATGTGGGGGGGTAGAAAGAAATCAAAATTTACTGTTCACGTGTAGGTCCATGAATTGTCGTTCCAAATTAATCTTTAGATGGGAGAAGCGATTTCAGTTCTGTGAAATCTATCATTTGGATCTCTTTTTTTTAATATATTCCAAATTGAAAAATTCATTGGTGCCTCTAGTATTTGTTGTTGTTCTTTTTTTTGCGCCTCTCTTTGTTAGTTTTTTTAATTATTTTTTTATTTTTAACTTTATTTCATTAAGGCTCTTTGTTGACTGATTTTTTTCCTGTTTGACAGGTTCTTCACAATATGTCCATGTGGACTGCCAAGGAAAAGAGCCTTAACTACGATCAAGCAAAAGCAGAAGCTGCAAGGGCCCAAAAAGATATTAAAATGGTAAAGCAATTTATTCAAACTACTGTATTTCAATTTACCGAGTATGTAATCACTACCTTAGTGAAGTGGACAGACCGCTTCCTGAATATTTTTATGATTAAAGTGGACATTGTTGGCCATATTTTTCTCCGTGGCACTAATATAGAGTAGAGTAGTAACATAATTTTACGTAGACTGCCGTAAATCAGTAGTTTTTGATTTGATTGTAATATGTTTTGCAAAGTTTTAAGCGAATATTGAGCATACGTGACAGCTCTGTTATGTAAGTAAGCGATTACTGTCTCTAAAACAGTATTTTCTGTGTTGAAATTTGGACGCATATAAATTTTACGGGTTTCAGCCATTTTTTCTGCAGAATATAAACTGCTGAGGTATAATAGCAGTTCCCTAAACACAGGTTTTTTTTGTAGGGTGCTTTTGATGCCGTAAGAAAACTTCTCTCAGGAAATGAGAGTTCGAAGATGAACCTGAGTGAAAAATCAGACATGTTCTTTTGTGACTACTCCATGATGCCACTCTTTGTGCAGGAAAACTATGCACTGGTTGACCCCGGACAGTCCCGGTAAGTTTATAACAAGTTTTAAAATCTTCTAAGAGATACCCACTCTGTAATTTTTTTTTGCCCCGTTAGTCGGTCCCTAACCGATCCGGCTTAAAGGAGGACGTAGTTTTGCAGAGCTCCGGCACAAAAGTAGAACGGAAAATAGGGTGGAACCCCGTTAATACGGTCACCAATGGGCCAAAAAAATTGGCCGTATTAACAAGGGTTTTTTACAAGAAAATGTATGGCGGTTTTTGCCAGGCGGCCAAGAAGAGTGGCCGTAATAACGAGGTGACTGTATTACCGAGGTGGCCGTAAGGCGGTGTTTCACTGTAGTGTTCCATGTGTGAACAAAGGCTCCGAGACAGTCTCTGATTCTGGATTCCACGCCGTGGATTCCAGATTCCAGGTACTGGATTCCAGATTCTTTATCAGTGGAACTTGGATTCTTGATTCTAATCGTCAATGGGATTCTGGATTCCTTCAGCTGTATTCCGGATTCCAAAGCCCAGGATTCTGTATTCCACCGGCACCAGATAAAATTGCTATTTTCCAGATTCCGGATTCCTTTTCATAAGGCGAAAAGGCCTAGCCGATATAGTTCTTATGACGGCTTATCGTGAACATGGCAAAAAGCTTGATCTAAGGTTTTTATACCTACAAGAAAAGAAATAACATTTTCTTAAAGTTCTATTATTATTTATTATAATGGTGCGAAAAATCATAGAAATCGGTTAAATCTTTCATTCTGAAAAACGCAAATCAAATACATAACCAACACGCATATAAATAGGTTCGGGCCACCTTAAGCTCCCTAACGGTTGATTTCCATTGTCGCATAATTTTATCGTGCGAACGAATGCAAAATTTACGCACTTAAATAAATAAAGGCAATGTATGAAAGGTCACGCGTAAAGGTAAAAGTTGAACCTAACTCAACTTTTACGTTTATGCGTCAGTCAATTCCAGCTGCGCCCGCATCCCCGCTGATCCCCCGGGAATTAGCCGTTTTTTGGCCTTGGATGTTAAATCCCCGGAGGTGGGGACTCTCGAACTGTCAAATTCCCCGGGGTGGGTACGAAAAAAACGGGCAAATGCCCCGTCCTCCGTCAACACTGCAGCATTTTTCATTGATCGCACAGTCGGGTAGTGCCATTTTAAGCATTTTAATGTACGATTTCTTTTTTCACTTAACGTCTCCCTTCCAATCCTTTGTAATAGTGCTATTCTAATTAAGACTTCACGCCGCGACGACACCAGTTTATGGTTTTAGTATTGTTATAAAATTATTGACATTAAAATTCAACTTAACTGTTATGAATAGTTTCATAAACCTCTATAAATATGAAAGGATGTTTTTCAAATAATATCAACAGAAATTTGATTCAATAACCAAAAGAAACGTTGATTCACATCGATAGCTCCCAATTTCGGTATGTACTTCTGGTTTGATAAGCAGTGAAGACATGCATGCATAAAATCGAACAAACCTCTTCATTTTTTTTCCCGTCCTTGACAGATGAGCCAATCTTCTTGTTTTTCCAGTAAAATCCTCTGTGTAGTTATATTCTAATAGGAAACCGCGTGCGTGTCAAAATCTCGAGAAAGTCGGGTCCGCTGAATTGCGAAAGCGCAAACACGAAAAGAAACGGGGAGGAAACTGGGGAGAGCACTATCTGAGAGCCTGGAACAGGCTAGCAAATGCCCGACCCCGAGGCAGCGCAAAATTCACAAATGCCACACACCCCGGACTTACAAGGCGGCAAATGCCCCGCAATAGCCCGGGCGGGGGGGGGGGCGCTGGGCGAAGCTGCAATTGACTGATGCATTACGCGTGACCTTTCATACATTGCCTCTATTTCTGAATTCGAATTCCGCACTAACCCTGGGTTATCGTAAGCCAGCTTTGAACAACTGGGCACAGGATTTAGAGAAATATAGTAGATCAAACGGAAACGACCCGATGGAAAGGCTTGAACGCGGACCTGCAGATTCAAAGTTCGAGGTGTTAACCGCTCTGTCACAACGCCTCACGTCCGTAGTTAAGTGGACAATTTATTAGATGTCACTTAATTTTTTCGCATCTGATACATATTACTTCCCTGTATTTTATTCAGTGGTAATTTAAAGAAGACGCTGTCTCTTCTAAGCAAGACTGCTGACTCCATCTGTGATGGAGATTTGGTTGAAAAGCTTATCAGACAGAATGGACATTGGTCTATGTTGCCGATGCAGGTACGAGTCAGATGAAGTTTCAACGAATCTTTCAGATCTGCAGTGAATTTATGTAGTAATATTTCCTGGAAATAGAAGTAATAGAATGAACCGTACATCCTGTGTAGCCTGCAAAAGTTGCCTCTCATTATTTTCATCACAATCATCATCGTCATCGTCACCACCATCATCATCAACAACAACAACAAACAACAACAACAACATCTTTATTTCTTACATTAAATATACAAATATCACTCCACCTGCAAATAGCAAGGCTAATCGAGGCAGGTGGTGTGTAGACGGCTTAAGATTTATTACGAAAAGTTGAAGTGAAAAAGAACCAAATTTTCACAGAGCTACAAAAGTTGCGTCCGCACTGTACGCACACATGCGCACATCATCATCATCTTTATTATTATTTATTCATTTATCTTCTAGAACTGAGAGATTTTTGAAACTATTATTTTTCATTTGTGTGTCTTTGATTACACGAGTTTGTTGCCCAAATGTTGCCCAAGGCAAATGTGAAAGTTTTGCAGAAAGGATTTCATTTAAATGAACATGAGTTTTTCAACAATCTTACTCAACTATACGTGACTTGAGTACTGAGTCTCTAACGAAAACATAAACGTCCTCTAATTTCGTACAAAGTTTTTCAACACCTTTTGAAGCATTTTATTGAGAATTTCTTCATTTCAGAGGTCCAGTATTAGAAGAAGTTTATTGTAGTGGTGATTTCAATTCCTAGGCAATGATGTCTTGCGTGATCCCGTCAGATCTTATCAGTGGTGGCATGGGGCAGAGAATTGAGTTTCCCCAGTGGCTTGGTAAACATTCCAAACGTGGCAGACTAGACCGCATTCTACAGGAACTGCAGAGTCACATAAGATTAAAGTAAGGAAAACAAACTTCAAACGTTTTACCGTGTAAAGAGAAAGTTTGGAATAGCTCGAAATGTGGCAATCAATCTTGTCCCTTTTTTGGCGTCAAACACCCAAAACATTGCAACGTGCATGCGTGATCAGAAGGTCCCTTCTCCCGGGAGAACTTGGCAGTGGCGTATCCAGGGAGGCCCCCCTTATTTTTAGACGAAACTGAGGCCCCAAGGGCCGAAAATATTTTTTTTCAAACCACCCCCCTCCCCCCTTATCTCAGGTTCTGGATGACCGGGCCCCCCTTATCTGAAGGTCTGTATCCGCCGCTGCCTTAAATCGCCTGTATCAGTTACTGAAAGGAAAAACCATCATTATCATGCATGCCTGTTTATCATTGCCCGGGAAAAGGACATACGCTATGCTTGCGCGAGTTCAACAAAGTTACGAGACGAGGTCCTACGACTTCAAAATCAAATATTGGGACGATTTCGACACGCGGTTAGAGTGATTAAAAACTCTGATCTTCAAAACATAGCAATGTCTCACAACAAGACTGATCAGAGAATCTGTCGCTTGAGTTTTAAGCTTAAAAGCTGACTTGTCGTTGCAGATTTCCTTAAAAAACACAAGCATATTGTAGGTTAAATTGTTGCTTCTTATTGGTGTCTTATCCTTTAATTTTTGTCTGACAAATTGTCCACCCCTTTCTAAATAGTACCTCTGCAAGTAAGCTGTCCATGGCATTAGATTACATCCCCCATCTTAGGAAGGTGCTAACATTGCCTCTTGTGGCACAGGTATGGACAATTTTTGATCTTGCTTTAACGGTTTTAAAATATCGGTAAAATGAGAGTAAACTTTCTTCATATCCATCGCTAAAAGGTTCTTCAGTTAGTCCTGTAAGCAGCATTCTGCTTTGCCAAGCAAGCCAAAATGACGTATTTGTGTCAACAAACTATTCGAATAATGGCGCCGTATCGTCCTAATTATCAGCAAAGAGAATTACGCCTTTGCCTAGAATGTACACTGTTCACAGTCCCCTATTTTCCCGTAAGACTGTCGAGATCGAAAACTTAGCGTTACGGGCGGCCCTCTTGCATAAGTGTCAAAACTACTTAGGGAGCCGGGGACGGTTTGGAAGGGGGCGAGAAAAATTTTTTTCTCTCGCCTCCCTCCCCCTAGAGCTATAATCCCCGACACCCGCCCCCTCGGTACGTTTGAAAATCAAGATGGCGGCCATTAACGGTAAGACGCGCTGTATCTCGACGATCTCACGGAAAAATAGGGGACTGTGAACAGTCTGCCTAGAATGACATGAATGAGACTAAACTTTCAGAAATGCAAAATAGCAGGGACTGGTTTTTCTTTTATACTATATGTTATAATCTTCTGAAAAAAAAAACAAACAAACAAACAAAATAAAACAGCCCTCTTGCATTGTCCCTTTAAATATATGAATCTAGTGCTGTAATTTCCGAACATCTCAAGAGCGCGAGAGCCTTTTATTGCCGTCAAAACAAAGTGTGTAAAAACTGATTGATTCGTTAGGATTCGACTGAGATCAATTCCGGAGTGTCCAGAGTAATTCAAGTGATGGAAGATTATGATCTGACCAAAGAAGACTGGGATTCCATTATAGAGGTTGGCCAGTTTGAAGGCCAAAGAGATCCTGTATCGTCAATCCCGTCTAAGGTGCGTATCTTTTTTTTATTCTAAACTTCGTTCAAGATTTTGATAATGTGAAAGGATCGTAGGGCTCCAATCAGCGACAAAATCAGCTGAAGGAGTTATAATGCCCCAAAGGGCGTTCGAACCTTCAATGCGGTCTAGGGTGCGTATCTTTTTTATTCTAAACTTCGTTCAAAATGGTGGTAATGTGAAAGGATCGTCGTAGGGTCCCAGTCGGCGACAAAATCAGTTGAAGGACTTGGATGCCCTAAAGGGCCATCTAGACGAACCACTTCAAAAGAAAAAAAATGAAGTTTTCCCTCCCCCACCCCCTCTAAGCAATGCTGTGCCGCTGTTGAAGCTACACGTAGGAAGTGACATTCAACTCAACGTGACGTGGGGGCGGGTGAGTGGAGGATGCGGTTTGTTTGTTTGTTTCTTTCTCTTGTTTCTTTTTCTGCGAAGTAAACACCATTCGTAATTGTCGCAAAAATTTTGTCGCCGACTATTTATTCAAAGGCTTTTCGTAACTTGCACTGAGGGAGAGCGACATCATCACCCCTTCACTCCTAACAATGGCCAAAGAAATTGACTTGATCAAGGAAACCCTGGTAGTGAAAATAAAGAAGGTTCATGGATCGCGTAGTCGCTTTTTCCTTATCGAAAATTTTACTGTGTTGTGTCAGTGATATTGGGTTCCGTTATGTTCACCGTTAGCTATTTAACGTTCCTGTGTAGGTAAAAGCGGCGTTTACACGCTCATATAACAAGGAAAAACATAAAACGCCGTACGCCATTCGCTCGGCGCCAAAGAAGGGAAGAAAGGGCGGAGCAGGAGAGGATGACCAAGGAATGGACGAAGAAGGCCTTGAACAAGAAGGCGAGGAAAATAGCCAAGAGAAGGATGATCTTGAGAACGATGCAATGATCAAGGCGAGTAAAAAACCAGTCAAAGGAGGAAGCGCACGAGGAAGAGGAGGGAAGGGAAACAAGGATGCAGCCAAAGAAACGACGAAGGGCAAAGGAAAGGGAAGAGGAAAGAACCGAAATTAATCAATATTAAAAGTGCAAAAGAGAAAGAAAGAGGGAAATTGTATCGAGAGAATGGGAATTTTTGCTCAATAACACTACAGAATACCGAGTTTCTAAAGAAAAAATACGACAGAACCGAATATACTGCAGAGTGAATTGAGTAAGATAATTGCAAGACTTAACAGGAGAATGGCACTCACAAATTGCCTTCGATCACGCTGCTTCTCAAAATTTAAAAAAAACACTCTTTTTTATACTTGTAACTATAGGTTATTGTGACCATGACATTTCAAAGTCTCCGAAAGACATTGCGTTAGTCCGTAGTACTTTGGTCTAGGAATGAGTAACGGTAACACAGTCTGCGTGGCTACCTTTTACTTATTGAAAGTGAAAATGTGCGACTGCGCCGCGCATGAAGTGAGCTTGGAATTGGGAAGATCTAGAGGATTACTCTGTCCATACACTGTACATTTCGAGGGATCATATGTAAGGGTCATAGCGGCGACGTGTAATAGCAGCAGATCTCTTGCTGTAAACGTGACGGGGGCCTGTAACAGCAGCAAAATCATGTTTTTGCCCTCAGAAAATGTTTTGAGGATATTCATTTTTGATTCTGGTGAGTCTCTCTTATTGGTTCAACTATTAATTTCGTTTCAAAGACGTGTTAAACAATTTACTTACCCTTTTGCTCCCGGGATATGCCTCATAGATCAGGTTCAACAAGTTGAACTTCGTGCAACAAATATGTAACACGACTTCTCAAACTCATTAATAATTCATAAAGAAAATACAAAGAAAATTAATGTTTAATGAGTGTTTGGAAATCGGATGAAAAACTGCTCAGTATTTGCATCCTTAATTTCTCCTTCAAAAATGATTTTGTTTGAGAAGAAATATCAAACATTCGACACAGTGTTTCATCACCAGATGAAACACCTCGAAGTTCGTCAAAAATACTTCGCTGCGCGTCGTATTTTCAACTCTCTTCTCGGTGTTTCATCTGGTGATGAAACACTGCATCTCATGTTTGATATATTACTTAAAATAGTTTAAGCACATATCATATCTCTGCAACGAGTCCCGCTACATATCTCAGGGTCATGTTCTGCAATATATCCCCGGGACATCTCCTGCGACATATCCTCGGGAGATACTCTACAACATATGTCTGGGCCGTGTCTCGCATTATGTCCCAGGGAGATGTCCCTGCAATATATCCCCGGGACATGTCCCCGTCATGTGGCCTTCCGTATTTCCCAACCATTAACCTTGATAAGGTAAGGTAGGACATTAGAACTAAAAATCGCCGTATTGTTAAAACAGTGATACAGAAAACAATGGACGAAATGTGCTTACTGAATTGTGTTCTTTTATTGTTTTTACAGTTACGTAGCTAACCGACAAACGAGTTTTAATAAGGCTCATTGGACAGAAAATAGGAAATACATTACAATATTATATTAGAATATAAACAGCTTAAAAAAAGTTACGTGCACAAAAAATTGTTTCAGAAGTGGACGAGAGAAATATTAAAATCCCCTACGTCCTGTTTGTATGTAGTAATCAGGCCCGTAACCAGGATTTTATGGGGGGGGGGGGTGGTGCTAACGAGGCCAAAGTGGACCAAACTACCGAAATGTATTTTTTTATTGTCTGATCCGTTTATTTAGGAAAGTAGCAATACATGAGAAATTGTAAGTGATACCGCGTTAGATTGTCATCAGTATTCTCACGAACTGGAGCTTGCGAAGTCTCTACAATTTTATAAACAATGCGGAATTGTTAAGAAAGTACACATCAGCTTTTCATAGAATTTTGTCATGACATCACGAAATGACGATAAGAGACCAAGAGAAACATAAAATGTATTTTCCCTCTTTGTGTCTTGAAAACTTCTCTTTGGATGGTTTCGGATGCCTGTGGATTGCTGCTTTAAATAAACCCTCCCAGTCCCTCTCCGAATTGTTACTCTGCGTTCCCTCACTGGCTTTTTATTAAGCGAGTTTGTTTCATATCGAGGAAGAGCGATTAAATCTCAGAACATAATAATGGGATCAAGACTGGTGGACAGTGCGAAAATAAGTTTGATTTACCTTCTATATCTTTCTGTAAAACTGTAGTTAACTGAGATAGATCTGAAGTTGTGGTTTCAGCTGGGCTGTCATCGCAAACTACACTGTCGTTGTCAGCGTCTGATGGCTCATAACGGGGTACTTTATTGACCCATGTATCGAGAGACTGGCACGATTTAGCTGCAGCCTTCCTCTTTCTATTTTCCTGTTCTCTCCTACCAATAACGTATTACACAAAAAACTAATTTTGCATCTTCGGGCGTTCATGCGCTCAGAATACTACCCGAAGCGTTAGCGGACGTGTGATCGCTCCCTTGTCATTGGCTCGCTCGTCGTAAACTCCCGTGCAAAGCGTGCGCACGTTAATTTCATTATTCATTTAGATAAGCTTCGACATCTGTGCGCTCATTGAAATGTTCTGAATGGCTCGGGCTACTAGAGAGCAGCTGGTTTTATTTTCCCAGTGAATACACTACTGCTTTTTCCATTCTTTGATTTTGTTTGAAACTTCAGTTTAACCGACTGCACTCCTTCACTTGGATATTGAGTATCAAAATGCGGACCTTTGGGGCCTGTGGGGGGGGGGGGGTGCGAATGCACCCCGTGCACCCCTCTGGTTACGGGCCTGAGTAATAAACTCGTTTTTGTGTCTGATCCATCTACACTGTAAAGGTATCTATTAAGCTTTAACCAGCTTGGAGGATGTTATCCTCTCCTCGTGTACTCGTCAGAATATGTGGAGCTTGAATGACTTGCCTTTCCGCCTAATTGTGGAGTCTGGATCAATTGGCACCCGAGTGTAAAGTAACGTAAGGAAAAGGCGCAAACGAGCCAAAGGCCCAAACGGCCGGAGCTTATCCCGGTTTCTTTAGCATGAAGCATGCCTAGGAGTATTGCTACTACTCTTAATTACCCTGTTTGCTCATCATAACATCATTTTAATGCCATCTCAAACTACGCGCCCTAAAGAAACGGATATTATCATGCTTTCATGTAAAGTACATCAAATTTGTGGAGGTATGCTCGCAGGTGGTCAAAATGCGTCCCACACATGAAACTTGCTCCTACAAGTCTCGTGTGGAGTGTGTGTGGTGTATTTTCTAAAACGCTAAACCAATTTCAGACTAAAATATATAAACTCCTGTAAACTACTTCAGACCAAAACTGCTGCTGTCTGAAGCTGGGGGTATAGCTTCCTTATACGCACTTGCGCCCGTGCGCACAGCTGAAATCTGGAAAAAATTTCCTGGTAGCATTTTTGTCATTAAATTTGGATGACTGGTTAATTTTCAACATTATATTGGTGTCTTTGTGTTAGTATTCCCTTTACCCTCTCGTATTCCATAAACGAACGGCAAGAAACGTTATGGTGGGGTGACAGACGAGCGATTGAGCTCTCTTGCAATTTTGTACATATACCAGAACAAGGACGATGATATTGATGGCGTTGTAACAGGGTTTGCCCATTTGAAGGGTACACATCTCGCCCTTTGCTTGTAACCTCGTAGATAACGTCACTGTTTTACCCTTTTTTCCCGCTGCTGTACACTGTACCTTAACTTACAGATAACGCTAAAGATGGGTAAAATAAACAACTAATTCATTATCCTTCTTATTTATTTACTGAAAAAAGAAAAACACAGGAAACGGCATTTTCGAGACCCTAAATTTGGACGTTTTCTGGAGCAGTATACCCCCCAGACTCCCCCTAATTTGGAACGCCTCTAACTTTTCTTCCATGCGTTCACTTTCAAAATCTCACGCTACGCCCCTGTGAAGACAAATGAAAGGAAAACAATGTACAATAGGCCATTTTACAGTTGTGTGCTCAGTGCCCTGGCCTTTGAATAGAAGCGATGTGGCATTGTTTTCTTACAAACCCTTTTGTTTTTCACGTGTAAATGATAATGTTCACGGGCTTGTTAGCATTAAAATCATACGATTTGTGCATGGAAATCAAGTATAGATTTTTGGACTTGCTGTGCAATGGTTGCAAGTTTATTGTTAGAAGTAAATTGTAGATATGTGAGAGGAAGCTTCTATTTTAGCCTTGATTTCAACGCAATTGCGATCATTGTTCATTGGTGGGTCTAAAAGATTCTCACCATCTCATTCACTTTCACCTTTAAGTATTGCAATATTGTTGTACGAACGCAGCATCCTCGTGTGATGTTTGCCTCAGAACGACTTATCTCTCCTCTGACTTAACTAAAATAGAGGGCATCATTAAGAGAGTTTTTCAGTGCTGCACATTGCATTGCATGTACATTTCAGTGTTCTCACAAGTGGCGCTCATCGCGCGATACAAAGCCTTGCCTATGTTATTGAATAGAGATGAGGAATTGTGGAAACGGTTCAGCGATAAAGATTCTTGAAGTCCACAGAAAACAGCACAAATATGCATTTTAAAACCAGCTTGGAACTTTCTTCAGTAAACTTCCCAGTGGAGAGCACTACGTCCATGAAAATGAGGCAGTCACAGAATTTAAGGTCTCCACTGGATATCATGCATCTTCTTCATAATTCGTAACGATCAGCTAAAAGATATAGACATAAAGAAGGATTAATACCAGGCTGAAGAAAGCAAAGCTTGTTTTGTATTTCAGCGATTTGCCTGTTTAAACGAAAAGCAAAATTCTATCAAGCAATTTTAGAGCAGAATTATTTCATAGAAGACTGAAGAATTGTCATATAACCTTCCTCATCTAACGATGGCCACTAGTTCGTTCACGAAGTGCATTAATTATGAATCTGTCAGACTTCTTTTTTAAATGTTTTTTTTTTTTGGCTAACTTGGCCTTTCACAGTGTTCTATAGGCCATTTCTATCAGTTTAAACTTACTGACCAGTCAGAAACCTCTCCATTATTTACTTACTGGTCGTGAACACAAAACAACAGATTCTGCTCGTGTAGGGAGGGATGTTACTAAAACGGGAAACGGGGAATGGGAAAATGAAAAATGGGAACAAAGTCAACTTGAAGCCCAGTCCTATCGGTAACTTCATTTCCAATTCTCTGTTTTGTTCCCATTTTTTCAATTTTCTGTTCTCCGTGCTCGTCTCCCGTTCCACTCTTCGCGTTAATAGGGAGCTTAAGCAGCAACGACGGCGACCGTTACGAATACGTCACTTAAAAAGTATTCTATTCTAAACCTATTGTTTTTTGCCCTTCTCGTTGCCGTCGCCGTCGTCGTTGCTTAAGCTCCCTAAGAACATAACGTGAACTGCAGTAACGTCGTTTCAAACTTTAAGTTTGCTGCCTTTCATGATCATGAGTTAATCCATTTCTTACAAAAAAAAACGTTCGTAGTTTATTCATTTTACACAGCTTTTTATGTCTGACCAAAAAGGCAGAAAGATGAACCTCCAGATACCGTCAAACCTTCACGTTCGACCACCTCTCGTAAGCGACCACCACCTATATACAGTCGACTCTCTCTTAACGGACACCTCTATAAGACGGACACCTCTGTAAAACGGACACTTAGAGTAGGTTCCTGCCTTTCTTTACTCCCTTTATTTGACTCTCTATAAAACGGACACCTCTCTAAGACGGACACTTAGTGCCAGTCCCAAAGGTGTTCGTCTTAGAGAAGAGTTGACTGTAGTCCAAAACACCAAACATTTTCCAGTCAATCCCTATAATCCGAACTTCTCGTAAACTATCACCGGGCTCAGCTAATAAGCGACCACGTTTGGGAGCTGACTGTTTAATGATTTTCCATTGTTTTTAACCTCTTTTAAGGACGACTTGTCTGATCTCTATGTTCGCTGTGTGTACTATGCTACCTAGAATATACGAACCTTCAGCAGCAACATGGAACTCCACATGATTTCGTAACTTAGAAATTGCACGCAATCAATTATCTTTTATTAACTAGATGTGTCCGGAGATTTCCTCAGTGGAGATTCCCCATGCTTCTTTTCTCATAAGTGATCACCCCTCTTAAGCGACCACTACGTCTTTGCGTTTTGACTGTATCAAGTACTTTTTTTAGTACTCACCGTCTTTTATCGAACATCGGTATAGTTCCAATCTAAGACAAGGCTTCTGGTTCCAATTAACTGGATTTATTCGTACGTATCGAGCTGTGACTGAGGGTTCTATTGGATTTGGCTCCACAATTAACGGATGAGAATTACCATTGAATATCTGAGAATGTTATGAATAGGAAATATGAGTAAGCCAAAAGTTAGATCAATCTCAGTTAACTGGGTTAGATAATAGTTGAACGACACAGCAGTTTGATCTTAACAGAGACGGAAACAAGAGTAACTTAAAGGCGCTATGTTGTGTTATTTCCTACCTCTTTAAAAAGCTAAACCTTTTTTCCAATCAATTGAATTCGAGACATAATGGTCCAGGTTAGTTATTTAAGACTATTGTTAGGTTTGAAAATGTTTCCTGTCGCCTATTACAACGGATGGCAAGGATGGACATGGATCATGAAACTTAAAAAAAACGTTATGCACAAGCTTTCAATTTTTAATACTATGCCTGCAAATTCACCAAAAAAAAATTATTATTGTTAGTGCTCGCTAATGAAATTTTACGATTTGACAATGCATGGTAACTGGACTGGAGCATTTTTATGTATGGGTAAAGGTACTAAGTAATGAGTTCAGCACAGAATTGACCCAGAACAACAACATCCTCGAGACGTAGCCCCTTTATAGAGTACACAAAGCCTAAACCTGCATACAAACATATAAAACCAGTAGCATTAGCTGATAATAGGCAATTTAAAGGTTGAGCGGAAGACTGGATCGGTGGTGTCGAATTGTACTATGGGACTATGGGACGTCGTCACTTCCTTTTTTGGCTATTACGAAGTTGTGCGAGAAACTGGGTCGAAATTCTTCTTCCAAGTCTGTCCCATAGTGCAATTCGACATTAAACCCACCCAGTCTCCAGCGCAGCCTCCAAATTTCTGGAACTGTCATTTTCCTCCTTCCTTTATGTCTTGGTTATAGGTCGTGTAGAAATGAAATGCTAACAGCTTCCAAGAATCTTTTACTGATCCTAAAGCCAATTTAATTATTTGCTAGATTAAGGCACCAGGTTATTCCTTTATTTTCTCCTTAGCTCTCTCCATATCCACCTAAAGATCAATTCGGTTTTTTTTTTGTTATTTGTTTGGCTCAAGTGTACTAAATAGGATATAAACTAGAGAACGCCCTCCTCCACGCTGACCTTAGTTCTCGATCCATCTCCAGTGTAGTTAAACCATGTTTTCCCATCCAGGCTGAAACTCATCGCAAATGATCTCACAAACCAGTATTTCCCGTCTTGGATATCTTTGCCTTGAGTAGCCACACCTTTTATTTCGTCTGGATAACCAAGATCAACTTTAAAGTATGGATTTTTATCATCACTGAAATATATAACAAAAGTACATAGCACACATAACTTTTTTACCGAACAGAATCATACGTGTTTGCTGTCCATTTGTAGCAAGAAGTTCACAAAATAAGTAAATAATGGGGCCATTTATACGAAGAAAAATTAAAGAACCGTCTTAAGACGCGAAATGTACCAGCTATTCGAACATATCTTGCATAAACGCGAGAAACTCGTATAACTGATTCGCGCCTTTTTTGCCAGTAGCAACTTCAATCCATCTGCGCAAACGACGCATGGGCACTATGCGTTCACCTGTGTAAGACGGGAAGGTCATTTAGGGTGACTTTCCACTGTTGCGTATTTTCCTATGTATACTTCAGAAAACTTGACGTGGCTTTACTTGAGTAAATATGAATTCCTCTTCTTGTTATTTATCAACTGGTTATGAGGTATGATCCTGGCATAAAATTAAGTGCATACCGTTTCTCACCCAAGCTGAACTGCGAACGCTAAAAGTGGCTTATAGATGGAGTATCTATTTTTTATCCATGTAAAACACTTTTTAACTGGAGGAGATCTTATGATACAATGAAAGCTCTTTCAAAATCCTTTTACAGGCCGTTGCCCCATTCTCCTACGTTGCTCATTTCACATAGTTACGTTGACGTTTCTAGAATGTTTAATGGTGCCTCGATCCGTGAAATGTGATTGTAATGAGGCATATAACGTCCGTACCTTCTTGGACACCAAGCACTGGTCCTGTTCCGTAATCTTCCATAAGGTGCTGCATAATTACTGCTAAGCATAGAGGTACTGCTCAAATGCGAGTCACCCATCAGGCCGGTTTGCAGGCCATAGGCACAATCTAAAATAGTTGTGTGGTGATGTAAAATACTGAGCAACCAAATGATCAGGAGTATACTCGTATCTACGAAAACACTGCGTGCGCTAACACTCGGCTGAAATATCTTTGTTGTTCTTTGAGGGGGGGGGAGGAGAAACCAGAAAATTCAACTTTCAAAAATGAGCGCGCGAATAAGTGTTAAAGGAGATAATATCTGGCTTTGAATCCGCCCGAAATTGGTTAGCCTAATATAACTAATTTTTAAAGTTATTAGAGACCTTTAGATTCGAAGACGAGGACGACTACGGGGACGGGATTTTCTCATTATACGTTTCTGGGAAACTACCCACCTACCCCTCCCTTAAGCCAACATTTTGCCCTAAGAGAGAGGTAAGTTTTAATGTCGGTTTCGGGGAGGGGTAGGTGGGCAGTTTCCCAGAAACGTATAATGATCCATACTGATAGGATTATTATCTTGTCCCAGAAAGCTCCATAGTTCTTTTTTTTTTTCACGTGAAAAGTTAGCATGGTTATTTTTATTGTAGGAGGGTAAGTCCTCTTCCGAACGTGAAATGATAAAACTTCAAACATTTGATAACTTGTTTCCTCTACTACGACATTTTGACCAAAACCCATCGTAGAACGACGACGGCTATCACGTTTTCCCGCCAAAATGACGCTCACGAGCGCGCTCCACTTAGTATTGAGAATATCTTGTCCTATTTACTAGGAGTAATGGGAGCTTAGGAGAGTGCGTTCATTATGTTTGTCAGGCAGACAGGTAGCAGTTGAGGAGGAAGGGTGGATAGTTATTGCGATAGATTAAGCCCGGTCCCCATATGATCGTTACAATCGCTGAGAAAAAAAAGTTCAGCGATCGTATGGAAACCATTCTCCAGCGATCGTTGTGGCACAACGGCCGCCGAAACTTTTTAAAGATAAACGTTTTGGAAGATTCAGCAAACACAGATCGATAGTAGACCTTCAGCAAACTCTTGAAATATGTGCGCTTCACGTAGATTCAGCAAACTTTTAGAAGATGAACGCTTTACGGAGACAGAATAGCAGACCTCAGCAAACGTTTGAAAGGTGAATCACCATGTGAGTTAGCGCGTCAAAGTGAGGCAAAACGTAAGCAAGCGCCTCAAAGCGAGGCAAATGTGTGTCGACACAAATGCAATCCCAAAAAACCTCGCTTATTAATTGCACAGGACACCCAATAATGCAAAGAAGCTCAACAGAAATTAGGGGTTGCGTTCTCGTACCTCAAACGCAATAACGAAGAGAAACATTTACCAGGATGTGGGAATGTGAACACCCTGTCGTACGCGTCTGATCCCTCCATGCATTTTTTACCCAAGGACACAATATCTCCCTTAGCTGGGGTGTTGCCGCTGATGGACTGTAAGCACATTCCCCCAGTACGATATTGAATGGCTTTACCATGAGCCATGCCTTGAGTCTTTTGAAATCTAACAACAACCAGATAGAAAGGTTTGTGTTAAAGTTAGAGACCATTTCTGCAATTATTTTATAAGGGTAATAGGGGGTACTTAACTCAAACTAGAAGGTTATCCTCTATCATATTTTTTTTTTTTTGGCCATTTGTATTTAAACATAGTAGAGGAGACTGATTATAAAAGGCGGCGAACAGCAAAGATAAAAACAACAGTGCTGCAGTTTATGATGGGAGCTCTCACACGGTGCACAAATCCTTTGTTTTTTGTGTACAAATTGTGACGGAATGAATTAATGGCACAAAGTGCTATTGAGCGTTATGCACCGTCAATTCCACAAGTACACATAACAAAGAAGTCTAACTGCCTTCATTTCTCTCGTTTTCTCTTTATACCAAAATTTTCAGGAGACCTTGTATTTTGACAATATTCGCCATATCTTGGTAATAAAATGTGAATAATACAACCTCGGAAAATCGTAGCTGGGGCAGTAGGTAACCTCCAAATATCTTAGACGAATGGAACGGATACCCAAAATGTTTTAGCTTTTCGCGAGCTTTCTAAATTTCTGGGCAATGTTCGCTCCTTCGAACATATATTTCACACTGGAAAAAAGTCGTTGGGTGCCCATGATCATAGTTTCTTAATTCCGCTTTATTGCTTTTAACGTGTAATACAAATCTGACCTTTGAGTGTGGTCATCACAGGCATAAGATGACAGCCCCACCGGGGTCCACTCAATAGGCACGCCACGACTGTTCAGGGGCCTAACACACATCTCTGAGCATGCGTGCTGGAGAATACCGTCGTCGCGTAGTAGAAACCACGTAGAGTCGCTTATACAATCCGAGTCGAATACAAGGGGCTCTGATTCACTGGCAGTACATGAGTGTTGTTTTGGACTTAAACATAATCCGTTAGAACTTCGAAGTGGGCTGTGCTTAGGGAAACCTGAGCAGGAAAGTGTCATTGCAAATAAAAGTAAGGAATTGTAACTTTAAGGCTTTGAAACAAACTCACAATTAAGGTATTTTAGTGGAATCCGGAATTAAGCTCGAAGAATACAGAATCCCACTGACGATTCCAATCCCTAATCCAAGTTCCACAGACATGGAATCAGCAATCCACAGTAAGAAATCCAGCATCTAAAGCTGTCTTGATTACTTAACATGGTGCTTACATTTTCTCTGTTAATTAAGAGCGAATTTTTGAGCTCCTCGAATGGCCAACATTAAATGTAAGGTATTTAAATTTATTGACATTAACTCTTATAATGGCCAAACTTATTTAGGCCCATTTATGTCCAAGGTTAACCCTACAGGAATTCATGCCATGAGTGCCATGAAATAAACTCCATGTAATACAAGCCAAATCCACGGTTTGTATGTTAAGAGCTGCGGCTAACTGGCTTTCAGTAGTGTGGGTCTGTGAGCTTGTTGCTGGTTTTTGACCAGCCGTTATTAGGGAGCTTAAGCAACTACGACGACGACCACAACGACGACGTTAAAACAACAATAGATTTAATGACCAAAACAACAACTCTGCACGTGCGTCACGCTTTTTAGTACATTTCTTTGACGTCCACTGCACGACTACGACGTGAAACCTCCTAATTTGACGTTTTATGGAGGACGTGGACATACGACGACGAATTTTCCTTCATCTTTTTTAACCTGAATAAAATCCTTAAGAATTCAACTCCAGGAAAAGTCGCCTGCATTTGACATATTGAGTGGGTCCAAATAGACGTGATTAAGTTTGGAAGAACGCAAATTCATTTTTTTACCGGTGTTTTCACTGCCGTCGTCGTCGTCCTTCCTTAAGGTCCCTGTTGAGGATATATCGCCCACCATCAGGTAAGGGAATCCGGGTTCCGGAATCCAGGAAATCGATAATCCTGGACTTTGGAATCCGTAATAAAGCTAAAGGAATCAGGAATCCCACTAACAATTGTAATCCGGAATCCAAGTTCCACTGACAAACAATCCGGAATCCAGTATATGGAATCCGGAAACTATGGAATGGAATCCAGAATTCCTTTACATGGGGGGAGGAGGAGGGGAGATATACTTACCGTCACATGGTGGCCATGGCTTACACACGAGTGTCTCACGTGGAGGACCTAGCTTGGAACAATCTTTTCCACCGTTGGCGGGGCGTGGATTGTTGCAAAACCTCCCGCGGACTTTGAACCCTGTGCTACACGTCCTGCTACATTCACTCCAAGCTGACCATGAGTTGTATCCACCATCAACTAAGGAAGGAAGAGATTATGGTAAAGAAAATCGTAACCTATTGCTAATTAATTTTGACTGTGAAATTTTAAAACACCAAAGGAAAGTGCTTCAGTAGCAACACGTTTCTGCACCATGGTGCTTCTTACGCAAAGTACGATAACGTTTTTCGCGCACAAGAAGTGAAACAGATTCCTGAATACTAGAGTTGTTTCACACTGGTTCCAAGTCCATCTCCTGTGTAATGGATGTCTTTGCTGTCTCTACTGAAACTTTTATCTTTATCTTTCGAGTCTTATCTTTGATCTTTTATTTCGTTGATAATTTATATTTAAATCAGATTAGAGCCGCAGCATATTAACTGCTTAAAACTCCTTTTCATGAGTTAAGGAAGGATTTATCAGGTTAATTGGCTCAGATGGAAGTCAGTACCTGGCAAAGGAAGTTGAACTGGGCAACCAACGTCTGGCTCCTTATATGCTAAAAGAGAAAAAAACGTTTATATTACACGAGCTGTTAGAGCAAGTTGTTAGTACAAAATAGAAGGTTTAGATCATAACGACTTTGACCTTGATTCGAACAGGTTGTTAGTTTTCCGTTGGGGGAGGTTTACACGGAAAAGTTCATTCGATAACATTTTTCGCAGAAAAAGTTTTCCTTTCCAGTTTCTACACTTCACCGCTTTTTAAAATTCATACCTTTTAATATTTTTCCAGCAAATATAGTTGAGGGATTGCTATAGAACGGATTACAGCGAATACCCTATTAAGGTTCCACATGCTTGGTCTGAATACAAAAACCTTTGTCGCGAAGTCAAACATGAAATAAGGACGGCTGAGAAAATATTCATCGCGGAGCAAGTTGTAAACAACAAAAACAACTCTAATTGCCTCTGGAGAGCAATCCGCTTGTGCATACCCAAGAAGTCCGCTTCTCAAAGGAATTATTCCAAAGATGACAAAATTGTTGCTGATGAATTTAATAATTTCTTTTCCTCTGTAGGAAAGAGTACCATCAACAGAATTGCTAAATTGGCAGAGGAATCGAATTATACTCTTAATCAATGTTCATTTATTCCGAGAATCTACCCATTGTCAGAGCAGTTCACCTTCAACGCAGTGAAGTGCGAACAGGTACAAAAAATTGTCACATCAATGGCGAGTGGTAAGGCCCCTGGGATTGATAAAATCCCAATCCATGTGATCAAAGATTGTTTGCCTGCTATCTTGCCATCGTTAACGTCTATTATTAATGCTACCTTTGAGTTTGACACCTTCCCTTTGGCCTGGAAAACAGCTGAAGTGACACCGATACTCAAGGCTGGAGACCACGATATTCCAAACAATAATAGACCGATTTCATTACTCCCTGTCCTTTCTAAAGTCTGTGAACGTGTCGTTCACAATCAACTTACGTCATATCTACTTTCGAGAGGCCGTTTATCATCCAAACAAAGCGGAAATAAACAGTGGCATTCAACGGAAACATCTGTCATTCAAACAACTGACGAAATCCTAAATGCCATTGACAAAAAGAAACTGACTGCAGTTGTCCTTCTTGATCTAAGCAAAGCTTTCGACAGTATTGACTATCAAATACTCCTCGCTAAGTTACAGGACATTGGTGCGTCCAGACCTGCGATAAAATGGCTCGGAAGCTATTTAACCTCGCGATACCAATTTGTGCGAATAAATACAACTCTGTCGACCAAACTACCTGTTAGCTCTGGCGTTCCACAAGGGAGCATCCTTGGCCCATTACTCTTTAACATCTACGTTAATGATCTCCCTTCTGTGCCAGAAAATTGTACATCGCAGTGTTACGTCGACGATACCAAACTTCTCATGTCATTTCAACTCCGCGATCAGCACGAAACGATAGAAAAAAATGAACAAGGACTTGTTAAGCATTAGGAATTGGTGCTTTGATAATCAGCTTTTACTCAACCCAGATAAAACAAAACTAGTGATATTCGGCAGCCGGCAAATGACTGCTAAGGTTAGCGACTTTAGGCTATTTCTATTGGGGAAGGAACTCGAGCCCGTTAAGGCTGCAAGAGACCTTGGTGTCACACTGGACTCTAACTTAACATATAATGAGCATATTGTTTCTACTGTATCCTCATGCATGTCACGTTTGGGCCAAATTAACCGCGTTAAGCATATTTTTAATAAACACGCGCTAATTATTATTATAAATGCCTTAGTATTTAGTAAATTATTCTATTGCTCTTCTGTTTGGAGCAATACTACTCAAACTAATCTGGACAAGCTCCAAGCAGTACAGAATTTCGCTTGTCGTATTTTGAGCGGCGCTAAAAAATTCGATCACATAACTCCTTTGCTAAAAGACTTGCGCTGGCTACCAATCAGGCAACAACTTTATTTTCGTTTTGCTGTTCTGGTTTTTAAGTGCATGACGAGTTGTGCTCCGGAGTATTTGACATCAAAGCTCGTTGGAAGATCCGCCGTCTCGACAAGGAACACGAGAAATTCTCAACTTTTGAACATACCACTCTTCCGCACTGCCAGCGGCCAAAGGACCTTTCAATATAGAGCAACCTCTCTCTGGAATGAGTTGCAGCCTGCGCTCAAACTTAGCCCATCCGTGACGGAATTCAAGTGTTCACTCAGGCAAAAGCTTCTTAATGACTGCTTTATTTAATTAATTTTATTAATTTTATTGACCTTTGTCTTCTTTTATCATTGTTATATTCTTATTGTCATGTACTTGGTTTATAATTTTGTAATGTAAAATTGACTCTGAAAAGCCCCGTGGGGACGAGCCAATAAAGTATGTATGTATGTATGTATGTAAGGTTTTACTGCTTTGGGTGTCCTTTAATAGGCAAAAAATTCTCACTCTCAAAACGAGGCTAAGTGCAAAACCTTTTTTTGTGCAAATGAGTTTTTTGCGTGAGAAGAAAAAAATATTTTCATATTTCGGTTACAGAAAAAAAAACATATCTCTGGCTTCGCAGTTAGCCTCGCTTAGAAACGAGGACTTGAGGCACTCGGAAATGGCCTACTTGCCCAGGCGACCGTCACAGCACCTTAATTAATTTTTGTCCACATTATATCGGCATGCGAGTATATGGCGCTAAGGCCGAGGTTTATGCGACTAAAATAGGATATTCCACAAACTTATTGCTTGGTAGGCGGTATGGATACCGGTCTACACTTTTTCTTGCTAGCCAATAAAAACACATACCTTTCTTGTTCTCTTTTAACCAGTACCATATTCGCCTAGGGAAAGGCATCTTTTCATATATCCAGGGTGAAGGCCAATTCTTCCGGGTCACTATGGTACCCCAGGGAATTTCTTGTATCATTCTGCTGTTTGTAGTCAGCAATGCAAACTCATCCCCTTTCGGTAACCAAGGCATGCGGTTGCTAATAGCAAAAGGACCGCTTGTCCAGTTGTCGAACTTTTTTATCAAAGATACACCAGTTAAATTGCTAAATGTCCCGGTAAAAGTGTAGTGATTTGGAGCCTGCCATACTCCGCCCCAGCGGCCAACCTCTTTTGCATCAAGCCGGTAATAGAAGGGACTTTCATTAAGTGAGTCAGACTTAATGGTATTCGCTTTTCCTAAAATGGAGAAATCCGACTGTTTTAATTTGCGAGCACTGGCATAAGAGTTTCTTTGAAACACTGTTCCTTGGTTCCATCCACTGTTAGAAATGACTTGCACCTAAAGGTTGGAAAATGAAAAAAAACGAGTTGGTTTCCAACCTCAATCTGACACACGATTTCATTTCGTTCAAAGATGATATATAGTCATTCATAGATCAACATTTGTTTTGTAATCGAGAATAGAACTTGGTCACAAATATAACATGTCTTAACCCCCCCCCAAAAAAAAAAGCAAATAACGTTATCAGTTTGCAGCGTTCAGTTTTTCAAATTCAGAAAAACACTCCATTATTCTAGATCTATTCAGGCTTGCCAAACGACGGGTTTCTACTCACTTCCCAGTTTATTCATTCAACTCTTAGAAGTGCTGTTCAGAACTTAAATTCAAGAAAGTATGCGAACGTCATATTGAACTAATAACTTAGAAAAACACTGCAGCTGCTAGTAATGAGGTTTCATTTGAATGGTCAAACGTAAAATTTTGTCCAATTTCTCGAGACCCAGTTCATTCAATCCGAATGCTTGTGGGGTGGAATCCAGTACCTAGAATCCAGAATCCACGGCGTAAAATCCAGAATCTTGGTTTCTCTTACATGGGGCAATCCAGGGCAGTTCTAGTTAGAACCAGTATGCCCTACAAATGGACCCTATTTTGCCATCTTACTTTATTCCCATTTTCATACGTAAAGTGGCGTAGAAAGTTTATATTACCAGAAGAGTCCATCCTCCTCCGTAAAGTTTCGACTGGTCACAAATAGTCTTGACTGGTCTTTTACAAGGACCATCGACAAATAATCGGTACACTCCACTGGTCTGGTAACTATCTTCTAAATACTGCTGACAACTCACTGCAAAATACATGGAACAATAGTAAAGGGCGCATTGGCTACTCTTTCTTGCGAGCAGGAATGTCATTAAGGACGGCAGGAATACACGAACGCCGATGTCGTCAAAGCGTTTTTGTCTGTATCTCATGAATAAAATGCGGCGGATTCTCATTAAGATAAGGTTACTATCTTAATAAGATTCCTCTTTATTTTATTTGAGATAAAGACAAAAACATTATGACGTCATCAGCGTTCATGTATTCCTGATCTCCTTAATGAGATTCCCGTCCGAAACCGGTACACCCTATACTACTTGCAGCAAATGAAGTGGGCGCAAATATCTCAATAGTCGAGATTGAGATGCTTTTCAATAGTAGAGCAGTAATTTTTCAAAATACTCGCATAATTATCTTATTTCTGCTCAACATCATATCTTTCAATTTAAGCTTCATATCTGGGAAACGATTACCCGCCAAAGATAAAGTATCATGATACCCTAAGGCTTGGGTAGCGAATAAGGCTATGTCTGTTAGCCATACCGGATCAGACAGCTTTTCGTCCCGACACGAAAAAACAACCGCTACAGTATAACCCGTCAAGGCCGGGGACTGAAAAAAATCCCTTTCACACAAGGAACATCTTGCCGGAGCGGTTGACCGCTAGGGTTTGGTGCACTAAAACCCTGTCCTCACTTCTGAATATTTACTTCAGTCTAAGTAGATTCCAATCCTCGCTCATACTTATTTACTTCTCCAGTGGTCCGAATACTTCGTGTTCACACGCGTTGCACAGAACCTATTCGATCAGTGGCGCCCCTCTTTCGACGCAGCTTCGCTCCATTCAACAACAATTTTATTGTACCCAAAGCAGAATATTATAGTTATTTACAAGTTGTTAAATTATTCAGTTAACTAAAAGGGGTACCGACGTCCTGAAACAACTAATAAGTTAAAAATGACAAGAAGCCAGATTCAGTGAGATAATTTAAATAAGTTTATTGTGCGGGGTACAATATGGCAGCATGTCATACTGTATACACACAAACACACAGATATATATGTTGTGGTTCAATTTTGTCCGTGGTTTAAATTTTATTTTTCATTGTTTTTGGGTATGGTAATGTATGATAATGAGTTTGAAACAATGAAAAATAAAATTTAAACCAAGGATAAAATTGAACCACAACATATACACACACACTAGCAAGTATTACCAGTTATATGATTTGTAGACACAGTAACACAGAAATGACAGTTAGACAGACTTACACAACAGAAAAATAAGTAAAATGTTGAAAATTAGGTTAGAATGTCGCACGAAGAAAAATCGCGGCCATCTTGTTTCACCACCGCTGACCAATGTCGATTACAGAAGTCGCTCCGAAATTATTGTTCTTATGTTTGAACAGGTGCCCTATCCGGTATGGCTTTCGTGCTGGCCTAAGAGTTATCCGGTAAAGAGTCTGCACAGATTAGATATATTTGATTTTTGAACAATAATGGGAGAAATTATCAACCGCCAGATAAAGACAGGGTTTTAAGCTCTTTCCTTCGCAGAGGTCTTCACTGGCTATAAATCAAAGAATTAACAAAGGAATTACAGTAACCACAGTAACAATAACTTACGGTAACATTTGGTTTTATAACAAGTGGATATTTCAAGGGTTTTTCCTCTGCAGTCACCGTCACGGATACAGGGTCGAGTGCGAAATTGAACTCCTTGTTCACAATATTGACTGCACGCTGACCATCGAGACCACGGGCCAAAATCCAATTCATCGGTCCCTAAAGACATGCATAACCGGGTTTTATGGTTGTGTATCCAAGGGCATTTATTGGATTTTATCTGAGTAGATTTCTGGTTAACTGCCCACCTACCCCTCCCGTAATTCAACATTAACACTTACTTCTCACTTGGGGCAAAGTTGGAGGGTGGGTGGTCAGTTACGCAAAAACCTCAACAAAATTTTAGGAGAGGTTGCGCCCTCACTGGAGCCCTTACCTCTTTCAATCATGTCATCGCTTCCAAAATTTGTAATCCGGCTTATTAAACCAGTGATTTTTCCACTATCTCTTTTTTCAGACTAACTGAAATTTGCATTTTGCAAGTTATTTTGGGACACCCGAGTATTTAGAGAAGTATTTTGGTCAGTTTTCACCTACTCGTCTTCTAATTAAAGAAATTTTCAACTTGAAACGCGCGTTTGCTATAAATGTGATTCGAAATCCCTCGATTACTTGGATATTATTTGTTGTCTCTCGGTTATAAGCAATTCCTAACAAACATTGGCTCAGAGTTTCCTGGTAGGTTGTTAGAAGTGCAACAGAGACGGTAGCGGTGGTATAAGTCATATGTGTTACTACGAATGCAGAAAAAGAGATCCCAGTCAGAAGCCGCAATGCTGCGGGCACCAAAAGGCAGATACATGAAAGGGAGACCCAAAATGATATAGTGACGCACAGCAAAGTTTCTTGCTGTGTAGACTGAGGCCTTTGTTGTGCTCGTGAGAAAGACTGATTGTTGTAGCCGAATCATCATGACAAGCAATATCATCAATATCAATATCATCGCGCACTATCATTGGAAAACCATATGAAAAAAAGACCCGTATGAGGACCGTACGGGTCAAGTGATAGGGAGCGGAAAAACGCGTACAGCCCTGCTAGAAAGGCGTACCGATCGACGCAGGTTCGCTTCGTCAGAAAAATTCAAAAAGATGACTGAGTTAGGTCTGTTCTGGCGGGAAAAATATTTGGCTCTCGGTCAGGACGCACTGCACGGATCTCGCTGCGCTTGGTCCATACATCCTGACCCTGTGCCAAATATTATCTCTTCCGGCCCTCCTACTGAATCAATAGGAACATATTCCTGCCCTAGTCTCAACTAGAGAGAGGATAGTGATGGCGAGGACACTTGTCAAGATGATTCAGTAAGCGGTTGGCAAACGAATAGGTGGTTGTAAAATACAGATTTAATGGTGCGTGACTGACGAGACAGGTTGTTTATAAGGTAGCTAAAATCAATTTTACCTATCATATGTTTTTTGACTGAGAATTCTATTACTTTGGGTCGAAGCACTTACAATGTACACCTTCATTTCTAGAGAATGTAAGCGATCAAGAGCCATAATGGGACTTGAAGCGATCTAGTTAACAAACTTACCTGCTCTTTGGAAAAAAGCGACGAGACAAAGCAACAAAACAGGTGTTTTAAACAATGACATTTGTCTGTTGTTTAAGGTGGTTGTAAAACCTTGGGTGAACTCCTTATCCTTTAGAGTAGCGGGTGAAATCTTTAAGGTCAGCGACTGAGAACAATCGAAGAGTACCAAGAGCTATTATGGCTGTTGAGAGTACATGTCTTCGTAACCAACAACTGTAGTTTTTTCAAATGTTGATTGAAACATCGAAATTGTAAAATTGTGAAAAATAATTTCATTCTATGGGGTTTTGATTTCTGCGAACTTAATACCTCATATTATTACATCATTGTTTGTTAGGTTTTTTTTTCGCAAGAGCTATATGCAGTGACAGTATTGTCAGTGTAACTGGTTTGTGAGTGGACGTGTTCATCTGTACGCCAAACCCCTTAAAACGGTTGGCTAATTTACAATAAGGAATGACATTCTCTTGTTCTTGAGTGGAAATTACTATTGCCCCAACGGGCAAGAGTTTTACCCGCTCGGGAATATCTGCTTTAACCCGCAAGAAGGGTTTTGTTTTGAGATCGTCTAGTGCATCTTTAAAGTTATCTCTTCGTTGTACTGTGGCTATTTTTAGTAGCTTACCATAAACGTCTGAGAAAAAGCACCTATTTCATAGCTTCCACTAACATTCCCTGAAAGATTGGCGTGGATTTCCTCAGAAGATACCCGAGCTGTGTAAAAATTAACAATAGAATGTTCCATGGCGGGTTATACAAATATGGCCATTTAATTACAGAACCATTTAAAAGGGGGGCAAGAATGCCTCTCAAGGGATGTCAACGGTTGGCTAATTTACAATAAGGAATGACATTCTCTTGTTCTTGAGTGGAAATTACTTGTGTCAAGGTAGCTCTTTTAATCAAATCTATATAGGTTAATTCAATTTGACATGACACTTGGTTTTAAGAAATGCTTCATTTACAGCCGGACTGTCCGTTTCCATTCAAGACGCCTGCATTAAGTTAAGGGTCTGTATATGTTGCCCCGCGAAGGGATACGGTGAGGCGAATCCAGAATTCTGATTGGCTACCCCAACGGGCAAGAGTTTTAACCGCTCGGGAATATCTGCTTTGTCCCGCAAGAAGGGTTTTGTTTTGAACAAGTACTGATTCCTTTATTTAGCAAAGTTCTTCGGTAAAGATGGACGAATACTGGCCTCAGGGAACATCCGGGGAATTTCGGGATGACAAAATTACTTGTTTCCCTCGGGGTAAGATGAGGCGAATCCTGAATTCTCATTAGCTTCCCAAACGGGCAAGATGTCCAACCCGCTCGGGAAAATCTGCTTTGTCCCGCAAGAAGACCCTTTATTGGGCAAACTTGTTTGGTAAAGATGGACACATACAGAGTTCGGGAAAAATTGGCACTCAGAGGGAAAACAAAATCACCCGTTTCCCTCGGGACCTCGGTTTCGAGTGTTGTTGCTCTAAATATCTAAAAGTCGTGATCGATGGTATATTTCCTTCATCTTCTAAATATGGTAAGCCCGCCGGCTGTTAATGATCGAAGAATTAGCCAGGGGATTTGAGCCAATTCTGGCAGAAACGGAGAAATATTTTTAATGAATAATATAAATTACATAAATTGATGTAATTTTGAAACGTTTATTAGTATTATTATTATTATAATTATTATTATTATTATGACTATTGTTATTTTCTACTGAGTCTGTGATTCAAATCTCAGGTGTAATAGTTAATCTGGTTAACTACTTCAAAAAAGGAAAAAACGGAAAGCTATAACATATTTTTTTCTTTTAACCTTTCACTTCTAATAATATAAGTGGCCAAAGGAAAAAAAATAACAAAATATTCCGATTATCTTTTGAAAAATAACAGCAAATGTCAAGTGCTATCAAAGGTACTGCCAAAGAGTTTTCATTGAAATGGTAACACCAGTGGATTCGGTGGATCAATTTAGGTTTCGGGGAAACTGCCCACCTACCCCTCCCCTAAGCCATCATTTTGCCCAAAGTGAGAAGTAAGTGCTAATGTTAGCTTAGGGGAGGGGTAGGAGGGCAGTTTCCCAGAAACTTAAATTGATCCGATTCGGTATCCACAGATATAAAAGGTAAAGTTAAAGTGAAAAATTAGTTAAAAGTTACTGTAAGGAGCCTTTTTTATCCCCTGTAGTACGAAGTGGCATAGTCAGAGCCCTGAAAGAGAAAAAAATCAACTTCCGGTAGCCATTATTGCCCTTGGGGACGTCAAAGTTCTCGTTGCTTAAGGTCACTATTGTCTGTAACGTTTAATTTATCCACAGGTTCAACGAGTATTGTTTATCTTTAACTCCACCGGGATAATTTCCGAAGTCATCATAGCTAGAGCCGTAGCTAAATCTAGCGTCGTCTATTTCCGTTACTCCGATCCCGTGATCTGCACGTAAACAGCCATTGCCTCCTCCACCAATCATCATCACGGATCCATCACCGTACCAATCACACCAGAAGCCAATCATATCAGGGTTTTGAAAGCCTCCCGTACAGTTATGCTGCATAAAACCTTGAGTTGATTGGTATTGACCTCCGTACTCTACCCTGCAGTTTCCAAGACATCTATTTGCGAACCAGGGCTTTCCATTTCGAAAGTCGCCATAGCTAAACATTTTATGCCTAAATGACTTTCCCTCAAGGCATTCATCTGTGGTTTGCAGCAACGCGGTGTGTTCAGGGTCGTCACTACGCGTGATCTTGAAGTTCCTTCCGCTGATCAACCAGAATGCAGGTGAAATCATATCACTGTTTTCCGCCGGGTCTATGTTGTTTCCAATAGTGGAATTTACGTCATACCACCAAGCGCCAGACACCAACATCCAATTTTTAGAGTCAGCGTTCGAGAACCGAGCGATTAAGATCCATCCGGTATCAGAGCCATTTGTGTTGTGGGACGTACCGTTGTCATAAAAAATCTGTTAGTCGAGACAAAAATAAAGAAAAGCATTTTTGTTGTTGTTCTGAAAGCAGAACCTTCCTTTCACTTGCTTGATTTTGGCGCACTCGAGAAAGACTCTGCATGAATCAAATAAGATCTTTGTTCTCTTTATTGAGCATGCGCCTCATGTTGCTAAGATACAGTTTCGAGCCCAGGCCTAATAGTCGTGCACTCGGTACAGCGGGCTCAGTTATGGCCATCGGTTTATCAGTAAACGGGTTCTCGCGCTTAAACACTTTGACTGACAGAAACAAGTTTGACTAGTACAGAAACTTCAAAGGCTTGATGCGATTCAGGCACAGCCTACCTTTCTCTTCTTCGATCAAGAATAAGTCCAAAAGGACGCTCTGCTCTTTGGCTGTTGTTCAGTATGTTAAACTAACAAAAACTTTTAGAGAACTCTCGACGATTAGGCGACCAGAAATAAACTTATGCTTCAATATCAATTAACACCATCAATGATCCAAACTAATATGTTTCTACCTACGAAAACTATAACGACTCGATCGGCTGAATTTAAGAAATCCTTAACCAAAAGTAGAAGAGTGCATATATAAACTAGTCAATAAACAAGTAGGTCATTTTCTTAATCAAAGTTTCGCTTCGTGTATTAACCGTATTCACACGGGCTTTTTTGCTTCCTGCGACCGGGGGGGCCTTCGGAGCCCCCATTCTCTATAACTTCAAAACAGTTCATGACGCACTTTTCAAAATCTAGGGATAACACTATTGACACAATGACGTAATTTGACGTCATTATGACGTCACACTGTTTAAACTAAAGACAGAATCCAAATTTCATCTAGTTTCCCCTCAAAGCGAAAAACGCTGCGAAAAATTTCGCTAAGTTGGTCATAGCTAAAACTGTGCGGAGCCTCAAAAGATCCAGGCCCGTAGGAGTAGGGGGCCCGGGTAGGCCCGTGTCTCCCCACTTTTTGGGCGAATTTTTTTTAAAAAGAAGACTACCACTATGGCGTCGAAAATACTGGGTTAATAACACAAGGCAATTCCCCTTTCGATTTTAAAAGATATGTTGTTAGGGCTAATATTTTTCGTGCCCTCTTACTTTCAGATTCGTTCCCACGGGCCTGAGAACATCTATTGCATCTTTAAAGTTATCTCTTCATCGTACGGTGGCTATTTTTAGTAGCTTACCGTAAACGTCTGAGAAAAAGCACCTATTTCATAGCTTCCACTAACATTCCCTGAAAGATTGGCGTGGATTTCCTCAGAAGATACCCGAGCTGTGTAAAAAATTAACAATAGAATGTTCCATGGCGGGTTATACAAATATTGCCATTTAATTACAGACCCATTCAAAAAGGGGGCAAGAATGCCTCTTGAGGGATGTCAACAGCTTTTAAAATGTTTGCATCATTTAATCACTTCCACCATCTGGTGCATAACACACAACAGAGCAGGGCTCCAATTTATGTGTGTCCTTACAAATGACCCAACCAGCCCAGGAAAGGTTGGCCACACCACCGGGGTCTCCGTCCCCTACTCTTTTCGAACAGTGGTGTGAGTTCTTTTACGTCCCACAGAACCAGATGAGTGAAAGTGCTGTGAGACGGGACCTACGGTTTTTCGTCCTTATCCGAAAAGACTAGAAAGTCTAACCGTTTGCAGTTATCATTGCAAAGACAGCACTTTCTCCTCAGATATTTATAGACCCTGAGTGTTGATCCGTCCGGGGTTATAATCCGCGACCTTCCGCTCGGCAAACCAGCACTCTTCCAACTGAGCTAACCACGCCGCGGTTCAGTTCATATTCTGAACCGATTTCTGAGGAACTTCCAAATAGTTTGACGAAATTCTGCCTAAGAGTGTTGAGGCCTCAAATGTAATAAATGACCCTAAATGTAATAAAGGTCCTAAGTGTAATAACTTTTGGCCCTAAATGTAATAAAGGGTCTAATTATATGTGTAATAGGTTTTAGGCTTAAATATAATGGAAGTCTTACAGTATACATGTATGTAGTATAACAGCCCCAAGCTTGATAAAGTCCCTGACTGAAACATGCGACGATATTAATGTTATAGCCAGCTGGCGATTCACTTTCTTCGCCCTATTGTAGCCTTCATAGAGATTCATTAACTTAGAAAGCGGCTAGAGCGCTCAAGAAGTAGGAGAAACACTTTTAAGTGTTTCTCGATCGTGTCTCCTACTACATCCCTACATTGTGAAACGCGAATTATAACCAAATGGAATCTACACAAAAGTTTTCAAAATACAGTTGTAATTTAGTAATTGAAGGAAGTATTAATGTTCATTAGAAACAATCGTGGTAAATTGACTACTTTTGCCTATGGGGTTTCTTAATGTTGCGCCAAAAAAGAAATGCTTTTTTTTAACCATTTTCCAAAAGAGTATGTCGGTCGGTCCATACAGAAAGCTGTGAACACGAAGTTATATGTAAACAGCAAGATGTTAAGGGCAGGATATCTTTATAGTTTTTCTGACTTCCGACTTTGATTTTAATTTCTACCAGGAGTACTTCTTTGAAGTGAATTTTTATGCTAACTTTTGTCCAGGATCTCACCACATGAATGAAATGACATTTTCAAATAACAGCTGGCTTTCCTGTTTTTCTAGCGAGTATATAAGGAACTCTACTTTGAAGACCCAAAATCTTTTTTTAGAGCTAAGAAGAAGAAGAAGAAGAAGAAGAGGAAGAAGAACAAAATGATGATTGTGATTGTGATGATAATGGTGGTCCAACCAGTCAACTTCCAAATGAAATACTCGACAAAAATAATAGACTTCGCGTTAACTGGAACTGACATAAGTATTATTGGGCGCTTTCCATTTAGGAAAAAAACCCGAAAATCTCGGTGGGAGCAAAAGTGGAATTTCCGATTGGTAAAAAGCTGTTCCATTTGGTCGTAAACCCCGGTACTTCGCGGTGCCCGACGGTGAACCTGGAACTGGTACAAACTACGAGAAACGGAAATGGAACACGACATTCCGTTCGGAAATTCCAACCGGGAAAAAGGGCCCACCTTTTTAGATTTTCCACTTTTTCTGGGAATTTTCCAGTGGGACGAACCGACGAAACGTGTTCCATTTACCGCCGAACCGAAAATTCCGGAAATTGTGACTAAATGGAAAGCGCCCATTATCACCTATAATTCCCTTTGCCAGCTTGGTGAACCCTTTAAAGAACTCACAATGCGTTATATTTGTCGGCTACCACGAATAAGCTACAACAATCGCGACACTGCGCGAAGTGGCTGTTTCAGCTTGCGCAAGTTGTGCAAAGAATTTGGCCCATACAGAGATAATACAGAGAGATAATAGCCAGCCCCAGATGGATAAAGGCGTGGGTTGAGCTGTTGTTTGCTGGGGTTGGAACTTGGTTTTATGTTACCAATGTATGGTGGAAAGGACGAGGGAGCAATTAAAGTACACTTACTTGCACCTATTTGTTAACAGACAAAGTGAAAACAGTTTAGCTGATGTTGTATTATTGACTCAGATGAGAAATCATGGTGGCACTACAGGCTGCAATTTTGACATTTTTGGCCTTTGCCTATGAAACAGATTTTTTTAGTCCAATCCAATGGATGAAGTTACAGTTTCTTTAGAAAATTTGCTATAATAAACGAGGCTCTTCTGTTTTGTTACAGTTTTAAGATACGTCAGTCCTTTTTTGACAATAAAGAGTTCTTAAAAAAATTTGCTTCATATCATGACCTCTGTTTTCAAGTTGCCGTTAAAGTAGTATTATTGATAACAATGCTAACTATTAAACCTATTTACAATTAATCACTATTCGGTCAAAGGACTATTTACATTTCACTTCGATTAAACACTCTTTTCAGTTAATAATGACAATAAAAATAACATTGATAATGATATCAAAAACTGAATAATAAGTTGTTACTCAAATGGCTATATAGGGGATCTGCCTGGGGTATTTAGTGTTTGATATTCCCTAGACACATTCTGGCGCTCAGTTAACCTGTAATAAGGCTAAAAGCAAACGCTGTGAAATCGTCTTATGATCCTAAGCATATAAAAAGCTGAAAGAATTACACTTAGGACCTTTATTACATTTAGAGCCAAAAGTTATTACACTTAGGACCTTTATTACATTTAGGGTCATTTATTACATTTGAGGCCTCAACAAGAGCAATAATGTTATGAACTTGAATATATAGTGAAATAATTAATGAATTAACCAAGGCTTTTGTATGATATGAAGAATTATGCAGTTTAGTTTCTTATAACCACAGCGTCAGTCGATGTGTGTAATTCTTCGTATCATTTTCAGCTTGATGCAATATTACTAAATATCCATTTCAATTAATGCCACAAGAAGCTTACCTCTCTCACAATTTTGCCCAGATAGCCCATCTGAACAGACACAAGTACTAGTTAAGAAGCCTATCACAACGCATGTTCCAGTGACACAATCAGATTCTAAACACGGATCAATTTCTGTTTACAGTGAAGAAAGAAAAAATAATAGGGGTAAATAAATTAAAAACTTGCCAAAAAATACTAACAATGGAACCTCTACCAACGGCCATCATTACAAAGGTGTCCATTTAAGCCATCATACTGAGCCGAATTGGACTTTCCTTTTACAAAAAAAATTCCATTTCTTTGTCAAAATGCATTCACAGAACCCAATCTAGAACTGGATCTTGAACCCGCTTCCGCAACTGTGGTCACCTCAGAGCATCATGAGGTCTCAGTTTACTTGAACCTGCACTATCTTGGAGAGGTTCGACGACAACTCATGTATTTTTATCACCAATGTCATTATTATTATCATTATCATGATCTTATGCAAACCTTCTTCGCATCTTTCTCCTCTGAAGCCAAAACGACATGAGCACGTATATCCCTTGTGATGACCGTTACAGGTAGCACCGTTTTGACACATATTATTATGGCACTGGTCTTCATCTAGCACAAAGTTACAGGAATGAACGAATGAAAGATTTATTCACTTGTCAAAGTATTTAGCCAGAAGCTAATGAGGGACACAGACTATCTACGTAGACAATACTGACAATAAGTATCCATAATTAAACAAAAAAAGAAATTGAGTATATAGATTCTTGAAATCTTGGTAACACTAAAATTATTAAAACGTATTACATACACAATTCTTTTCTACAGTCGGATAAGGACTATTCCGGGGATATGTAGGTATCAGATCACGAGTCCGGATAAGTCGACTTTCCTAATATTTCGCTTGAATGAATTAAGACTTTCGGCAGTTCTTAGATTTCTGGGTAGCTTGGACCAAATGAGAGGCCCCCCATTTTACAGAGTGTTTACCATATCAAACAGTTTCGAATTTAGGTAGTTCAAAATAGAGTTCAAAATATATTGTAATTAAGCTACAGTTAAAGTAAAGCGAAGATACAATTTTCCCTTATCTCTTTCATTTCAAAGTGCTACTTATTTGAAATTAATTCATTTGTTGACGACACTTCCCGAAACTAAACAGATTGTTTCTTTCACGCTAGAAACGTTTTTAAATGCCAAAGTAGCCTTCCGAGATTTTACAATGACGACGTCTGATGAGAAATTTAAAAATCATGATGTTAAACATCGGCGATCTTGTCACACCATTAACAATTTGATTAAGCGGATGTTTTACTATCGCCCCATGGAAAATGTCACCAAGACTGAGTCACACTTGCAATAACAATATGATTTATATTCTGCAAGAATATTTGACATATTTTTGGGTTATTTACATTAATATAAAGGTCAACTCAGGTGTAGCTTATGTGTGTGTAAGTTGATCATTTTAACTACTATGACGTCACGTTAGGCTAAACATCCGCCATTTGGAAAGTCATGTTCGAGACATCTCAGATCATGCACCTTTCGGCGAACAGATAACCAAACTAGCAAATTATACGTCATTTTACACTCACACGATTTAGAATACTATGTTCCCCTTAAAATAATGTGGAAAACTATAACAAGGATTAATACGCGACGTCACACGAAAGAGGAAAGTTTTGCGGCTTATGTGACCATACATAAATATAATTTACCCGGGCTGTTCCAGGTGGCGATGAGGTTGTCGTTGAAATGTAATCCTCTCGCACTAACTGTAGAAAAAGAAAAAGACCCACTCACGTATTAATCAGAAAGAGAACTGAAAAAAAATGCTGTCGCATGACTTACATTACGGACCATAAGATCCGACGACGGTGACGGCAACGGGAACGCTACAAAAGCAATTGGTTTAATTAGCAAAACAACAATTTTGCACGTGCATCACGCTTTTTTGTACATTTCTTTGCCGTCACTGCACGACTACGACGTGAAAATGCCTAATTTCACGATGTACAGAGGAAATACACAAGCGACGACGAAATTTCCTCTCTCTTTCTGAACTTGGAAATGGTTCTTAGAAATTCAACTTTAGAAGGGTTCGCCTACATTTGACAAAGTTAGAGACTTGGAGAAACCGCGATGAAGATTGAAAGAACACGAATTCACTTTTTCAGCGACATTTGCTCTGCCTTCGCCGTCTTCGGATCTTAAGGTCCCTGTTAGGGAGCTTAAGCAACCACGGCGGCAACGGCAGTGAAAACCTCACTTGAAAAGTGAATTCGCGTTGTTTCAAACTTTATTATTCTTATTCCATTTCATTCAATTTGTCAAGCGTTGGAGAATTTTTCTGGAGTTAATTCTGAAGGAGTGTATTTAAGTTAAAAAAAACAAACTGAAAATTTTTGTCTTGTGTTCACGTCCTCCATAAAAGGTGAAACTAGGAAGCTTCACGTCGTAGTCGTGCAGTGACTGCAAAGAAATGTACAAAAGAGAGTGTTGTTGATTTGCCATTCTCAAACTCATTAATAATTCATTAAGAAAATACAAAGGAAATTAATGTTTAATGAGTGTTTGGAAATCGGATGAAACACTGCTTAGTATTTGCATCCTTAATTTCTCCTTCAAAAATGATTTTGTTTGAGAAGAAATATCAAACATTCGACACAGTGTTTCATCACCAGATGAAACACCTCGAAGTTCGTCAAAAATACTCCGCTGCGCGTCGTAAATTTCAACTCTCTTCTCAGTGTTTCATCTGGTGATGAAACACTGCATCTCATGTTTGATATATTACTTCTAAACCTATTGCTTTTTCGCCGTTGTCATTGCTTAAGCTCCTTATTGTCCATTAGATGAATGACCCACGTAAAATAATTTTGATGGTAATTTCATGAGAATTGGAGGATATTAGGAAATAGTGGAGATGTTTCCTTCAAGAGATATGAAAAGAAAGTGGATTTGGTAAGTTAGTAATGAGGATAGAGGAATATTTTCGTTGATTTCTGTTCGTGGTGCGTTATGCCACAACGCAGATTACAGTGCGCTCGCGAATTGGGAATGTCGGTTTGTTTGCATTCCTTAATTGAAAGAGAATTCCAAGGAAAAAAGAAAAGGGTTTCGTGTCTGAATCTGTCAATTAATGCACGCGACGCAGAAGGATTTTAATTTTCTATCGATTGGGAAGCCTGCCAAACTAAAAGCCAATTGATTTGCTATCCTAACCGTAAAACAATGGAAATGAAGATAAACAATGTTGTGTTATTATTTTCTGCGTCCCTGAGGAGACTCATTACGAACGAGTAGATGCTACAGTTCTGTAAGAAAATCATAAACGTCTGAGACATTTCGGGAATATAGATTTGAACATCAGGCGGAAACACAAGCGAAACCGCACAACAACAGACCGATTACCGTTAGTGCTTGAGGTCTAGTTAGGTCTAGTTATCCTTCCCCTGTTTTTTTTGGTTACTTAGTTCCTCGCAACAGAGTACCATTCCACAACTATTTGTTGTTTTTTACGTCTTGTCATTTTATCGTTTGAGGGACTCAGAATCACGCTTACGACAGACAGCAAAAGTCTTCTTCAAGTTCATAGTTTCTCAAATTAGAAAATGAAAAGATAAAAACTGTGCAATTAAATTTGCATGAATAAGCCGGATATGAAACTAGTAATACGTACGCAATGAACACTAAACGGCAAGTAAAAGAAAAAAATATGGTCACGTAGTAAAAATTGACGTTTGCCAATTGCCGTAAAGGCAGGCTAGATGACCAGCGGCTATTCGAGAAATGAGCCCGCGCTTCTTCCCGAAAGAAGTCTGTTCTCGGGGAAAAACAAGATCGGTCCCAAGAAAGCGACGGAAAGCGAGCCTACTACAAGACTGATTTTAAATCTCTTAATTATTTAGAATTTGTTACTTACCTCCCCATGAATTTCCGTTGGCGTCTTGTGTTTCCAGACATTCGTTAGGTTGCCGGGTGTTACTGAAATCTGTCTCTGGTATGAAAGGAATTTCAGTTGCAAGTATTGTGGAGTCCAGGTCTCTTACTTGGAGCCATTCCACCTCTGGCACACCGATAACTCCCCTGCTGTCATCCATATTGTACTTCATATAGGCCCTCCTGTTTCCTGCTACTCCATAGAGTGTTCTTTTCCTACTGTCGTATCCGAGCATGCTCAGCATTCGGAATCCTAGTCCTAAAGAATCATTAGCATACCAATTTACATTACCGTCTCTAAGTGTCAGGAGTTAGTTACATAGGAAGTGAATAAAAGACGAATATTTCTGATTTATCAAACAATATAAATGCAGTGTTTTGTCACTGAAAGAAGAACTGGAAAAGAGATGTCAAAAGTGCAAAATGTAGCAGATTAATTGTACAGAAATTCAATCATAGATTAAATAATATTAATTTAAAACTAATTTGTATTTAATTCGTAATAGTATAAGAATGCCATTATTTCTATATTATTATTATTATCATCATCATTCTCATTATCATCATCGATATTGTTGTTATTGTTTTTATTATTAGTAGTATTCTTATTATTTTATTTTTTCCTTCATTTTTGCTACGCCCTCCCGCGACTACTCCGATCCAAAAGGAGAGCTTGCTCGCAGGCTAGCAAGGCCCAGATAAAAGTATTACTTTTTTACCCTGCATAAATTAAGGCATGTTTATTGATGTGATAAATTCAAATATCAAACGCGGTTCAGCCAACTTTCTTTATTCGTAAGACCGATTTCCCGGATATCGGATGAAACGCTGTGTCGAGTGTTCGATCAAGTGTCTCTTAATAGTTGCTGAAGAAATGCAAAACTATAGGCAAAATGTTATGGTAAAAAGACAATTGCATAGTGACGTCAATTTATTACAGTTAACAGAATCCTTCACTTCGTTATTTTTTATTGATAAACTCTACCTATGGATTGATATCTCTTTTCAAACAAAATGCAGATGAAGTCGAGTTAAGAAAACAACATAGGAAGTTTTTCATCCAGCTAAGAAAGTAACGACTCATGATGTCCTTTAACTCTGCTATTTGAATTAGCTGCCCAGAGAGAACTTATAACAAATTGAAAATAAGGTTTAACCCAGCCTAGTCCCTAGGCGTTTTCGGCTCGGTCAATCCTGGACTCTACCGTGAGCTGTGACGTCACCGAAAGGGACTCGCCCGCCCTTTCCCAGAGTTTGTGCGGCCAACGGATCAAGAGAGAACGCCTAAGGACTAGGCTAGGTTTAACCGACTTTTACTGACCGGTCCACCGTGTGATATCGTGATGTCGCGTGGCATGATAGCAATAGCTTCTTGAAGAAACGGGTCTGAGAAAGAAATAGAGAATAATACATGGTCGCGCGGAGATATGGAATTTATCTTAGAGTGTTCACATCGATATCGAACGACTGAGCGCAGCGAACGAGTGAGATATCGAATGTGAACACGAGAAGATAAATTCCATATCTCCAAGCGTCCATGTATTATTCTGTTTATTATATAAACAAGAATCAGCCATTCCATAAACCAAAACCATGTCGAGAACCCGATAGCTCTACAAAGTACAGTAAAAAATAAATACAAATATTAAAAATGTCCGGTATCTTGTTCGGTGTGTTCAGATACCACATTTCTCGGTGGTAGAAATCCTTGTAAAACACTGCAGTTTATATAATAAAGTGAGTTATTATTTAATTTAAGACTTATTGTCTCCGGTTCTTAGTGTTGTTTTGATTCTTTCATTTTCCTGTCGTTTTTGAATTCGTGATAAGTTGGTCTAACTGATGATTCAAAATGGCAGGCTTTGTATTTTGTATTTCTTATGTTGCTAATTTTGTTGTTCACGAGGTTGTTGTACCTTCATGTTCCTGAATCTGCTTTGTCTTATTATTTGCTATTGAGGTATATCTGCTTAAAAACAGTCAGTGCACGCAAAAACTTAAAGCAATCACTTACGGAAGTTGATTTGCGTTACAGACAAACACCAAACCAGACACTGGCTCCACAAGGTAACTCCGTTTTAACACGGGTGGAAAATCTATAGAGAAAACATGAAAAATGTCACACGTAACGCCAAATGACTGCAATTGAAAATTCTGCCTATTATATTTCTGGAGGAAGCCGAGTTTGATATTACGTGACCTTAAAAAAGTCAATGAGAGCGCCGCCCTGCTATAACAGAAGAAACTTCAGCTTTTCAAGTCTTAGGGTATGCTCAATTCACCTTGTACGAAATTAACAGCACTTTCTGGATCATTTCGAAAAAGCCTTTATGAAGAATCGTTCTCTGCACAGAATTGATTTTTTTAGCCGTTCAAAGGTCTTTAAAAACCACTCGGCTACTCATTGTGTTTTCATATTAATAAAACACTCTTGCTCGTTTTTTCTGTTATTTAAAGGCGGAATAGTATCTGCCAATTCCCTTCCCCGCAAGAAAGGTGACATCTATTCAATTTAATTAAAAACAATCATTGGATAATGCAATTCTAGAGCTCTGATTGGCTTAGCCATTATGATATATAGGCCGTTAAACCATGCTCTCCAAAAATGGTAACTGTACGCGTTTGCTCGAAATTACAAACAAGCTGAAAATCGGTTGTTTTCGCAAATAAAGTCGGGAAGAATTCTTTGATATTTGTGGGCGTTTTAAATAAAACAATTATTCCACTCGCGCTTGTTGGATATGAGAAGATTATAGCCAACTCATATCCAACGCGCACTCGTGAAATAATTGTTAATCATTACCTGGGTGGTTGCTTGATTGATTGATTTGACGACCATACAGTTCCACTCTTAGGCAAATGCGGTCGATGAACGTCTTGGCGAAAAACCGAACAAATCGAGCGGAGAATGGTTTGAGTAACTTCTGCTTCACTGCTACGTTTTCTACGATATTTCCGAGGAAAACCTGCAAGACAAGAGCTTGCTTTTAGTATCCAGCTTCCAAGTTTTTTTTCAATCGATAATTTGCTGAAAATTATCAAATCCAAAACCTGATGGACAAGAAGAGCACCTGCAGGGTTTTTCAGTAAGTTTCATCTTTAAGCAAAATGTTTCAGTGTTGAATTAATCTTGGGAAATCGTGTCTATAAGAGTAAAGACATTGGACCTCTACAGTCGGAGCGCTTCGCTCAAAAACATTTCCCTCTTGTCAACTTCATGCTCCATTCATTGCTAACGAGGCAACCGAGCTAGGAAGCGAGGTTTCCTCGGCGGCAGTTTCATAATCCTGCGTAAAGTAGGAAAAATCTCTCAATTTCTGCGTAACCCCCTAAAATTTGCTTTTTTGACCATATTTGGTTGTAAGTAAGACCCCATATTTGGGCAGTTGTGTCATGATCTTGTATTTACAACTCGTGGTTGGAAATTGGGTGATCCCGTGTTCTGTTCAAGAGGCCCTAACAGGTGAGCAATCTTTAATACGATTTCTAGATTTGAAAGGGCTATTAGTGCTCTGGTTTGCTTTATAAATTGCGTTTAAAGCAGCAGCTCATCAAGGAATAGGGTTTTACGCTCCAATTTTTGTCAGAACCAGCTTGTTCTTCGCAGCTCGATTTACATTGAGGTAGCGTGTTTGCTTCTCGACTCAGAACCAGGGTTTTCAGTGTTATATTTGTCTAGTTTGTAAATTGAATTTCATGCGGTAGGTAATCAAGCAATAGGGTTGTATTCTCAAAACGTTTATCCGAACCAGCGTGTTCTTCGTTCGATTTACATTGAGCCGGTCCTCGCCTCCCATGAGGAATGCAACGCATTTGAGGACCTTTTGTGTTTTAGAAGTTATTTTTGCATTTGGAGAGATTTTTGTCAACCAGCGTGTCCTTTTGCACCTCTATTTACACTGAAGACAGCCGCTGAGGAATGCAACGAATTTGCGGACCTTTTGTTTTATAGACCATCATTACGAATCATTTTGCCTTTCGAGAAACTCTTTGTCCTGTGGCACTCGCCATTAGATCTTTGTATTTTATTCAAGTCTATATTTTTTTTTACCTCTGATATAATTCCGCCCCATTCTTGCGCTTTTCACACATTTTGCTTATACACCAATTTTTTCACATGTATATTACCATGTGGAATATTTTTCTTATCCCTAATGATGCCATTGATCGGCGAAAGCTCGGAATTTAAATTTTATTTTTAATTTTAGCAGTCAAAGGCCCCACTTGAACTATAGTTTACTTTTTAAATTTTATAGTTTTGAACTACACTGATTTCCATAAAATATAAGTGCTAACTTCCTCCAATTTACCAACAAAGCTTCGAGCCAAGTTGTCATTTTTTGACAGAATTGAAAGCCTAGATGATGTACCATCCTAAAGTTGAGTGCAGTCCTTTTCTGTAGCGGAATCCATTATAAACCTCTAAAATTATGCAACAAATGGCGAAGATCTGGATAGGCGCATTCCACAAAAGATAAACAAGTTCGCTCGTTGGCACTTGCCGAAAGGTACCCCTAGTTAATGAACATGAATGGTACTTCTCAAACTCATTAATAATTCATAAAGAAAATTCAAAGGAAATTAATGTTTAATGAGTGTTTGGATATTGGATGAAAAACTGACATCTACTATTTTGTTTGAAAAAATATCAAACATTCGACACAGTGATCACCAGATGAAACACCTCGGTTTCCGCTGCGCGTGGTATTTTCAACTCTCTTCTCGGTGTTTCATCTGGTGCTGAAACACGGCGTCTCATGTTTGATATATTACGTGAAAGAACTGACACTACTATTCAAAAAGAGTGAGGAAAGGTTTCCCCGGTGACAGGGGCGTAGCCAGCCATTTTTCCTCCAAAGTCCTAATTGTAAAAGTCCCAGTCGGGTGGGAAGGGGGAAAGGGGTAACATAGAAGTAAGCACAGTTCATTTTTGCTGAAAAATGTCGCTTCAGATAAAGCTGGGTAAACTGTCATAGTCAGCGCTTGGGACGAATAAATATGACCGTTTTATAAGCCGACGCAACAATTCCCAACATTGTTGGGCCAACAATGTTGGGAGACCCGTTCGCACGTAACCAAACCTTTGACCGGTTATAATATCTTCGCAACAACTCCCAACAGCATGCAGCAACGAGCAACAGGGTGTGCAAACAGACGCAAAAAGTAACATCCAACAATGTTGCGTCCCTTTTGCACTGGACTTTATGTGCCAGTTTCGCATGTCCATCACCGCGACGGAAATTGGTGCCTATACCGAGTATTGTGTTTCGATAGGGTCATTTTCACGCCTAGACTGCGAAACAGTCCGTATTTTTGCGTATCCAAATGCGCGAGAGCAGTCAAACAAAAGGTCTGGAACGAGGCTGAAAACGGAGAGCGAAACTGGGGAGAGACGCTAAAAATACGCGCCCTGTCAACATTAATATGCGATAACATTTGTTAAGCCCGGGCTTAATGGCTTAAAGGTAGCTTCGCCCCTGTATGGTCTGCCTCTACCTCTGTTATTATCTTCGCTATCACACACCTACGGTAAGCTCATAAATAGACCGATCGCGCGGCAATCAGTGGCGCCATTGCATACTGAGATCGGAGCTTACTGTTCATATAAAATGTAAAGACTGCTCTTTCTCTCTCATCTGCGACATTATATTACATTTTCGTTGTAAAATTGATTCACACCTTTCTATCGCCATTTTGTCTGTAGTCAACAAAATCGCTCTCTGTTACGCTGTATTGTAAATAATATGACGTCACACCACGAAAATTTTCCTTGCTTCCGTCACAGTACTCACTTTGTGTTGCCACCTAAGAAGGGAAAATATTCTTGTTGTAAGTCTCTTCTTCTTGGAGTGGTTACCTAACTCTAATAACAAAGGAGACTTTTGTCTGATTGGCTGATTGATTCTTTAGTGTCCATTCTCCTTAACGCGCACAAGAGAGTAAACAAAAAGAGAAACTTTTTACCGACGCATCGTAAGATTTCTATCACCTTCCCGCGCTTGGAATCGCTTTCAAAAGATTAACTGGTGAAATTACAGGTGAGACTGACCAATCAAACAAAATTCTACTTTGTTGACTATAATACAGCCAGTATAAACAAACCTCTGAAATATTGTACGGAAAACCACCCGATCTCGTCATTTTGGTCTCAAGGTAGGGGTTACCGAACATAAGCCGCACACCCTCAAACAAATTTTCCAGGAGTGACAGAAGTTCGTCGGTTTAGATATCAAGCACCCTATATCTATGCCTACCTATACCTATTTGGTCTTTTATGCCTCAGAACCACCTGGGTGGAGAGAACTTCTTATAGGAACGAGGCAATTTAAAGAAAACGGAGAAAAGGGAACCAGATACAATGCTCCACATAGCGTGGCGTCCTTTATGCGTTATTACTGAACGTTTCAATCTCGCTCATCATTGTAGTCGTCCGTTTTAGCAAGGCCTTTTACAGTGGAGTTTTTTTGAAAACGCCGGATTACGTGGACGGACGAAAACGGGGATTTTCGAATACGATGATGTCATACATCATAGCGCATGCTCTGTCTATAAGGGACGCCATCATATTTGCATTTTGGCAATTTCGAGTGGACGGGTGAAAACGACTTGCATATGCTACGTGTGGGCACCTGTTTATTTATTTATTTATTGCTTTGAAAACAGAGGATAAGATCTCCGTTTTTCCCGATCCCCTTTTGCAAGGCAAATGGCAGTGACTATTTAAATTCAGTTAAGTATATTCTGTGCATTAACTGCGGTGCATTTTTTTCCCTAGATAAAAATTATTTACGTAAACATCAGGGAAGTAAATTACACAAAATTGTGGCAAAAAACATTTTGAATTTCAAAGTACCTGTTGTATCAAGTGTGGCGCCAAAAGATCAATTTGTAAGTACTCAGACAAGCTTCTTTCATCCATGCACCAGGCGGAGACAGAGTTAAGCCTCGCTTTGAAGGGTTGAAAAGAAGGAAGAGATGACGCGGAAGACGAAAACTGACTGTCCAAAATGTCCCCTGACTCAGTCCCTAGAGGGTGGCCATAGTCTGAAAGAAAGAGGGCAAAATAGATCCACGTATTTGACACTGATCTACATCTCCGTCTACATCTTTATTCAATATCTTCATCTATAAAAGTTTCCCATTACGTTTCCCTGTTTAATCATAAAAATGAGTAATCGTGTTACAGTTTCTGATAGGATGCACTCTGCTGTATATTGATGTGATGAAATATCAGTTAACTATCAATATTAACATGGAATATTGAAGATTCAATCGACGACCGTGCTAACTCGAACTGTTTTTCGTTTCCCCTCAGAGTTCGAGTTAACGGGGTTCTTCTGTATTTTTAGCCTGCGTAGCAAGCGTTTCTGTACGGTTTAGGAGTAAAGAACGAGGAACAAGAGTCAAAGAAAATTTATTTTTCATTTATTCATCAAAACCTTAAATCCGTGCCTGGACACTTGAAAAAAACGAAACGTTTGCTATGCAGGCTACTGTATTTTCCACTACAGAAACAAATAAAGCTCACCCCGAAAATTTGTTTATCATTTATTCACCAGGCCTTACAGTGCCTGGACACTTGGGGAAGAAAACAAAAGAAATTCATCTTTAAAATTCATCAGGTGCAATGAATAAGACAAAAGAAATTTTTTTTTTGTTTTATTCCGCCAAGTCTCGGAGCCAAGTATGAATTTTGATATATCGAAAATGGTCTATCACAACGTTTTCTCAAAAGCAATAAAATAATATTCAAGGTTCAACTATGCAAACCGTTGAAAACTTTAAAACAGTTTGAACTTACCCGACCTCTCAGAAAGCAGCCCTCAAATTAAAAAGGGAAAACAACAACATCAACTTAAGAATCTTTTATTTTCAGAAAACGTTGTGATTCCTTCTTCCAAGGGTCCCGGTTTGAGTGTCCACACTGTAAAGTTACCAGCTCATTACTGCCATTTTATTTAACTGTTCTTTGAAAGGGAAAAAGGGAATTGCTTTAGGATAGTTTTAGTGGTTTTACCGATTCCCAAGTTTGACGGGTCCACATTCATGGACTTGTAGGAACCAGAACCAGTTATCGAGGTACCATTTTATTCAAAACGTTTTAGTTTGAGTTAGCAATTCAAGTAATCCGGATAAAAGTGACTGAAAAGGAGGTCAAATTCAAGGGAAATGAGAATTGTTCGAGTTAGCGGGGAGTTCGATCGAGTTATCCGAGTTCGAATCATTTGAGTCCTACTGTGAGCTTACCAAGTGGATGTATTGTTGTGGCATTCTCTACCACGCAGCCATAACTTTCAAACTGAAGGAACTTTTCTTTTGACCAAGAATGTAATTTTAATTTGACAAATCGTGTCCTGATTGGAGGGTTGAAAACAATTGGGGTAATAAAAGTCCAGTCGTAGGATATGCGGAATTCCTAAAATAACCAAAAATTAAGATTAACAACTATGAACTTTGATTTTGACAGAAGCATGGAATCGGAGCCTCTACCCCTTCTTAAGCTCCTAATGAGCAGAGATCATGTATTCTGATGATGATGAAAGTGATGATCATCGTGCAAAATATATATGAAGATAATAACAGGGAAGATAATAAAGATGATGATGACGATAGTTGTAGTAGTAATGATAGTGGTGATGATAAGAATGATAATGATGATGATGATGATGATTATGTTGACTATGGTTGTGGTGGTGATGTTGATGATGACGTATTTGTAATTATCATTATTACTATTATTATTATTATTATTTTGTAGATAAATAAATTTAAAAAAAAAAGATGTTGGTGATGACGATTATGGAGGTGGCAATGATTAAGGTAAAGATAACAGTGGTAGTTATGGTGATGATAGTGTTGATGTTATACACATTTTTATCCCCTTACTCAACCCCCACCCCAACCCTTTCTTCTCTTCTGAGCCATTATCAAACATTTCAAATGAATAGACTGATTGCCTAATACATACCATTTCGTTTAATGCCCGATGATGATACATTTTCCAGTGTATTTCATCATCGCTTGTATAGACGTACAGCGATGTGACTCTTCTCTCCTCCGATCCTTTGACAGCCAGCTATACCATGTTGCCAAAAAAAAGAAAAAGAAAAAGAATTATTTGTAATTATTTAGTTAACATCGTGACCGACCTCTTCCTGAAGAAAGTTTTTATTTATTGTAAATAATTTAATTTAAGGAAATCGCTTGGTCCCCGGACTTTTTCATCTGTTTAACCTGTTTAATGGTAGTTGCCACCCCTGTTGCCACCTTAAAATCAAAACTTTTTGCTAGACTGTTTTGGGGAAAAACGGCTCCTTTGTGGAAAATATTGTTCGGAAGACGATTTGAGACCTGATTTTCGGATTTGTTGTAAAATTTTTGATTAAAAGCCTCTCAATTTTCAACATCTACAAAATGGAATAATTACCCATTTTTAACGGATTTTTACAAAAAAAGGCCACCTAGAATTTTCATTTTCCTGGCTGAAATTTTCGAAAAGGTACCTTTTCCTTCCTAACGTTTTTATTTATCAAATAGTTTTCATATAAGGAAATCGAACAGATGAAAAGTTTTTCATCTGTTTAACCATTTCTAACATTTAAATACTAAAATACGTTCAACAATGTTATGTTAAGTGGTTTTGAACTATATCCTCGTTGGGTGCCCCTGCTGCTTCGACGAGATCATGTGCTATTTAATTTATTTAAGCAGAACCTTGCTCCGCGGAATCACCTTTCCAAGATTCTTTCGGAAAAATCCTACAAGGTAGCAACTGCGTAGATGAGAAACTTACTTACCATTTCAAATTGCACTTTTTTATTAAACTCCATGGAGATGAATTCATCTCGACTTTTCCTATTCGATCTCCAGAAAGTGTCATCTTCTCCCAGCCTCGCATTGAAAGGAGAAGTCCCAACTAAATCATGCTTTGGTCGAGCCACATAAGAAGATGTAATATCACTTTCTTTCAGTACGCTCGTACGAAATGGACCGAACATGTCGCAAGCTGAAACGGTAACAACATAAAATTTGACAAACGCAAAACATTTGCGTTTGAACCTTTAAACACACGCCACACTTTCTTTTGTTTGAAAAACCAAAAGGATCATAAGCGTCTTTATGATTATGCAGGTTTTATTGGCGCTGCCACTACAAAATAAGTGACACGAATGCCCTGCATGACTATGGTTATATCGCTGGTGGTGTTCACCCAAATACATCCGCTGATTTGCGAGTCTCTTACGTCTTAAATGCGAACAACTAAAGCATTACCTAACATATTGAGGTACCGCTACCCTTTAACAGCGCGTGCGATGACGCACACTTGCAGTACACAGCACTATTCAAACTCGTTCCCAAAGTTCTCCCTCTCGAAGCAAGAGGTCAAAAAGAACCCTGGGAACGAGGTTGTGCTCTTTAAATGCAGAAAACGGAGCTGTGTAAAAACATTTAGTTCTGAAATACTACACTACTTTATTCGTTACCTGGACTGTAAAAAGTAAAAGTTAATGGAAAATACTGTTCTTCTTGTTCTGCACACTCTTTTCCAACCAAACTGTAATTCAAGCGAAACCACGTTGTTACGTTGTATGATCGTCCATTCTTTGTTTCATTCCTTGGATCGATAAGCAAGGTGAACCTCACAGGGGCGTGTTTCGTTACGTTAAAACTTCCAAACTGACAAAAAGTAATGGGGAATAAATGGTCAAATGTTGTTGTTATGGTAATGACTCAAATTACCCAAACGTATAAAAGAACGTAATAAAGACCTGATCAGCAAAAATCTCAAAAAAATTCTGCAAGCAGAATTGTAGGAGAATCAACACGACTTTTATTTTCGGCATAAGTAAAAAATATCGTGCCCTGACCCTGGCTTTGGCCAATTCTTTATTTTCTCTGAGACATCAACTTGACACTTGGATCCTTGTTCTGGGTCAACAACAACGATACACAAACGCCGCCGTCATTTATCCTGGAAAATCGTGGTAACCGACTAAAATGTCGTAAATGATATTTGCAAAATTTCACTAACGGTTTACTTTAACTTAAAATTGACAAGGTTAATTGTTCACCCCTTTCCTTTAATACGGTTACTATTGACAGAAGTGATCACCCGATCACTGTTGCTAGGTTGTTGTTGTTGATGAATTTTTTTTTTCAGTTGATAATTTACAATTAACAAACCTCAATTCTGCGGTGCAATAGATTTTCTCCGATATGTTCGGCGGCATTTGCCTCTGAAAGTTTTTCAAATGATGTCAACTCCAGGAAGGAAGGTCCTTGCCACTCGACAGCTAATGACATCACTGCGTAGTTATCTTCTTGGATGTAAAAAGCCATTGCACTGTTAAATGTCAGGCTAGAGGATAAATAACGGTATGGTTATCCCAGTAAGGAAATCTTGGATTCTGGAGCCCACACCGTGGATTCCGGATTCAAGGATTCCAGTCTTTGTCAAAGGATCGAATTCAATGGATTCCAGTCTTTGGATTCTGGATTGCAATCTTTAGTAGGATTCCTGATTACCTGAGCTATATTTCGGATTCCAAACCCCGGGATTCCGGATTCAAGAAGCAATTTTTTTTTGGATTCTGGAATCCGGATTCTCTTTGATGGGACAATTATTAAGTAAAGGTGCACAATTATCGATAGGAATTTTTCATGTTGAAAAAAGGGAGAATTTAGAACAAAAGAAAGAAAGGTAGAAAAAGGGAGTACACATAAACCAGATACGCTTGGTGACCGGCTCAGGTTGATCTTATGTGGTAGTGTCTAACTATTTGCATTGGTGGTTGCCAAAAACCGGGGGTACTCCCTATAATTGCTTATATGAGGGGGCTCCGTCCGAAAGGGGTACCTTTTTCAGGCTTCAGGTATATGAAAGGGTAGGGATTTGACTAGTTGAAGTATATGAAAGGGTAGGGAAATCTGTCCTCAAGGTTTGTAAAAAGGCCCAAAAGGACTAACAGATGCATTTCACGGATGTCAAAAAGTCGTGATATATTCACATTTTAAAGATACTTCAAATACAGCAGTTGAAAGAGATGCAAAGTTCTAATCTAGGAATGTGAAAGGTGCGGTGTACCATTTGTCAATAGGCTGATTTAGAAACAGAACGGGAACGTCGGTTGACAACGGCGCTCGCAAATCAAACAACTGGCTTGACCAATGGCAGAGCGGCAAATTGGGCAACTCGAAGTCGGGTCCTTTCCGCCTTTTCTCGCCAAAATACGTTTCCTGTTGCGTCACCTTTAGAAGGTTGAACCGCGCCGGGTCCAACGACCTATAAATATTTGTTGTGCAGGGGTGCAAAGACCTTAAATATTATAAGAGGGGTGCAAAAGTACGCTGACGGAGAATTTATCCACCGTTATCAGTTAAATCGTTTTCTTACCCTGGAAATAACGGTTTAAAATCCTCGAGCTGCCTTATTTCTGCCTGCAGAATTAAACAAAAGATAAGTAATTGCAAATTATTGAATTACGAAAAGGTTCTCTAACTAATTGTGAACATTCATCGAAATGGAGACGGTTTTTAAGTTCTCTTCCAGTTTTATAATTGCCTGTGGGATACGTCAAGACACAAGTTTCAAGAGGAAACTTTTCCAGTGCCAAAGTTGCCGTTTCACTGAAGTACAGTAAGGACAAGCAAGTTTATTTCGTTGCAACAAGTTTGGATGGTTAATGGAAGCTAGCAATGGTCGATAGTATATCCAAAGGCGAAAATTGACCAATCACTGCTCTCATTGTTCACCCAAACCATCCGAGAAATCCTTACGCCAGAGGCTTTTTTTCATTCTCTCTGTGGTTTTCGGAGCTTACGAATTCGTTCAGTTTCAGTTTTCTTGAGAAGCAAACTCCTTACCCTGAACAAGCCACTAGGTTGGATATATTGAGGAAAATTGCTGGCGATGAGCTGAGCTGTTTGAAATAAAAGATATCCCTGTTAAATTTGTCATAGTCAAACTATACCGCCTGACAACATGGTGTTGGTCAATTTCCGTGTTGCTAAACCAAACATTCAGAAACCAGTGGAATCATCATGCTGAACGGTTTGAATCAAACTAATACCATTTGCCTATTTTGATATACCGCATTTTGATTACATTTGGCAAAGTGGGACTGTAAACGAGAATTTTTTGAAATCATGGAACGGCAAGTTTCGGTCCACCGGACCGAACGGTCAAAGAGGACCATCTCTGGAGATGGACCACTTTGACGGGAAAATTTCCACTCGGGCCGAAGCGTTCCATTTATTTCTTGGAGTTGACCGAAAATTCCAACAATTTTGGCACAATGGACAGCAACCCACATTGCAAAGCCTTGTCAAAGGAGCGATTTCGGGAGAAGAAAAAAAGGGCATCGAAAAGCTTGCAAAAGTGTTTCTGCCAGGTGTGGCCATAAGGGATGACAACTGCTATTTGAAAAATGTTTGCTAGAACTCAGAATAAACATCCCTTCATAATCTGAAATTATCAAAGAACTGGCTAATGCTATGAAGACTGGAACTTTACATAGATCAGGATGAGCATATTTTGTTGAAGTTGGAAATACAGCAGAACACCGATAACTCGAACTCGGGTAACTCGAATTCCCCAATAACTCGAACTAAATTCCCTTTCCTTTTGATCAGTGAAATTTCCCTCAACAACTCGAATACTGCTTCTTTTATCTCTACTCGAATGTCACCCCATTAGCTCTTCTTGTTGTATAAGGGTAAAAACGTCAACACTGGTTAACACCAGAGCAATTTGATTTTAATTATGAAACGAACAGATCACGTTTTATCATAAACAAATACCTGATCATGCTACCCTTTCTAATGAAATTAGCTTGCAAACAGCCTCACTAGTGCGAATTCCGCCGCCAAAATAATTTTCCCCGAATTCGCACAAGTGAGCCAGCTCGCAGACTAGATGAAATAATTTGAATTTGCCTTGCACCTTGCACTGAAGTGCTGAATTAAAAATCAGTAATTTACATTTTTAGCATGGCAAATTGAATTTTGAGATCGACTCCGATGACTAGAAATCTCGCTAACTCGAACTTTTTTTTTTTTTCGTTTCCCTTCAGAATTCGAGTTACTGGGATTCTACTGTACATTGAATGAATAAAAGATTCTCTGATCTCAGAGGGTGCAGGTCCTCCTCGATCTGCATGATTCTTCACATCCTACGAAAGCCGAATCCAATATTCAATTCAGTTTTATAAATTAACACTTTATTTATTTAGAATCACATACTTGAACGTACCAAAATCAGTAGCAGTCGTGGTCGACACATTCTTATTGCAGACAAGTGCAGTCCTGATGGGATAGTTTCAAAACATCCATTTGTTGTGTGTTTGTCATTAGCCACCGTATATACATATAGCTAATCTAGGGTCTCTAATTCTCTGGCTCAATTAAATTAAACTTATCATACTTAATTCCTTTGGGCGGGCATTGTTTGTGTTTGGAGTACAGACGCAGGAAAAGCAGTTTTCTCCAGACGTGCCATTACAAACGCCTATCTTCCTCGAAAAGCCCCAAACTTCGCAGCTTTAAGTTAAATGATTTCAGGGCGCTCTTTTAAGCAAAGTGAAGGAATTTTCTCTAACTGGTTCTCAACAATTTGTTTTAAAACAAGGAAAAGAATTAATGAATGAATTAAAGGAATCTTTTTAAAGTGCCCTATATCTTAATACACTGACAATGTAAATCGACGCTATTGGATCTAAGTAAAAAATACACAGGTCCTTTACTTTTGAGAGTATGCAAAATGGGTATATAATTATTTTCTGTCTCTAAACTTTGGATAGTATCGCTCTTCTTAGTAGATAATACTTGACTTTCACACTGTAAAAAAAAAAACCAAGTCTATCAAAAATATTACCGACGTGTTCTATTTTCAGACAAGGTATTCGAGCAAATTGAAATGTAACCTTTGGAAGCTATACCCTAATTTCAAGAACCTCATTAGTTCGCCAAAATAAGCATGTACATTTCGTTATGATACTAAAAACCCAGCTTCATCGTTCAAGTACTGAGTAGATTAGGAACAGGTATAGAATACTATTGTAAAAATTTAAAATTGTAAATATCGTAATTTGTTTACCTACAGGGCACTTAGGAGTTCATATGAACTCGTTGAAACGTGTCCGTGCGTTCCAGATCGAATTGGAATTAATTTGAAAGTGTTGGTTTTTAACGAGAGGGAGAAAACGGAATAGCCCAAGAAAAAACCCTCGAAGCAAGAGAGAGAACAAACCACAATTTCTACCCACATATGGCGTCGACGCAAGGATTGGAACCCGGGCCACAAGCGTGGAAGCTGATGCGAGTGCTCTCACCAACGCGACACCCTTGCTCTTACCTTATACATGACTGAGGATCCGCTCAACAATTTTATCCCGAGAAATGAACTATTTGCAAGATCCTTTTGTGCTTTGATTGACTGAAACGCAATGCAGTATCATATCTTTATGTTACTGCCTACACCTGCAAAATTTGGCTCTTATGCAGTCCTAATCAGAAGTTATAATACAAACCATGGTTGATTTATAAGCCTATTTCTGAATAACCACCTTCTGTTGCCAGGCTATCCGAATGCCGGTTTCATAGCACCCTTATTAAGCAATAATCTTAATTCACTTTCTATTACCAATATTTCAGACAACTAATTAAGAGGGGTTACTTAGATTACAAAGGTGTTGCACCTTTGATGCAGGCAACTCTAATCACAGGTTGTATGTACATATTATCTTTAATTTATAATCAGTGTAACCACGTTCCCTTGATATGATGACGCACTATCTGAATGTTACGATGCACCAAACGACTTGAACAGTAATCTTAATGCACTTCTATTACCGATATTTTAGCCATTATTTTATAAGTTGCGCACTTGAAGTATAGGGCACTTTCATGTTCTCGTTTCTAGTCAGTAACACTAAAAAATACCATATACCAGCTGATATCGTTCATTAACTTTACACCTTAATACCGACATCTCAAGGGTGCGGAATGAAAACTTTCGTTTGGTAAAATACCACCGAAAAACATGTCCAAAGAAAATGGTGCTACGGAACTGAAATGTTTCATATGAGTAGTCACAAAGCAGATTCAAGAAAGCGGAATAATTGGGGGTCTCGCTTATTCATTGTTCCTGGAAGTTTTTTCTGACTTATTCATTATTGATTGTGAATTCTAGCCTTTACTTCATTATTCATCATATCCCTGGTACATGCCAGCGGTTTACTTTTGTCCTTCTTTATAGCATGGAAAATCGCTCGGAGTTGGGGAGAAGTAGAATATATAACAGTGGCGAATCCAGGGAAGGAGCCAGAGCCGAAAAAAAAATTGAGACCCCCACCCCCTTATCTCAGGGTCCGGATGACCGTCCCCTCCCCCCTTATCTGAAGGGATCCGGAGGTACCCCCCTTTATTTTTTAGACCAAACTGAGGCCCGAAGGGTCACCTTGGCTGGCAAAAAAAATTTCAGCAAATTTTTGAGAGACTGCCCCCCCATGAGAATTATCTCAGGGTCTGGATGGGTCCCTCACATTCGGTGTTGGAGTAAGGTCTTTCAGAGTATACATGATATATGCGCAATTCTCACCAGTGCCAGATTTCATCCCTTTCTTTAAAACGGCAGGGGACTGGTTTTCAATTGATTACAACCACAAGGATTTCGAATGACTAAATCCAAGAGCCCATAACCTTTCAATATTAGAGTCACTGATATTAAGGTTTGCGTTTGACCAGTCCCTAAGCCTCTTTATTCCTCGGGGCCTATGCGTTTTGAATCACACATTGTTCGAGCTTGCGCACTCCGAGATTGTCTAGACGTCTCCCGGCCATTCCTCTCGGAGACGTCACCGAAATGCATCAGGCACATCTATAATAATTAATTAAAATTTAAAATTTAAAATTACAAACAATTTTATATATTACTACTTTACTTATTTACAAATATAAAATATAAAACCCTGACCGAGAAGCCCTGGGAAGACGTCGAACAGGCAAGATACACTACACGTAATAAGTTTTCATTCTGCGTCACGCGACCAGTGACAAATGGGAATGCGGTAGATCACATCGACAGGATTCAGTTACCTAAAGTGAGCAGCGGTTCAGTGAAAAATATGGCTTTTGTGGGCCTTTTCAATCCGGCGGGCTCACAAACCTTGTTTCAGTAATGATCATCAGCCAGTGTTTTTTCTTCGGACGGATTTGAGGCAACCTTTCCTTTTTTTGTTTTAAACGAAACACGTGACATCGAGTGATGTCCGAGATTCATGCTTTTGTTTCTTTCAGGGCGTAAGAAGCTAGTACTGACGACCTCAGGTTTTTTCGACCAGATTAACGTCGGCGGGGCCCTGTTTTCGAAAAAGACGTTACTTGTTAATTTTTTTTTCTAAAACTTTATATTGGCTGGAAATGAAATCTTAATCAGACCTAAGAGGCTTAAAGGAATCAGGAATAGGAATCAAGTTAGAAATGTCAATAACATTAGTCCAAAAATTATATAGTCTGGGGGGAACTCCCCGTATCAAATAGACGGTCTTGCTTGTCGGCAAAGACTCAGACCGTACTTAAACACAGTATGACGGTCGGTTTTTGTGTTGGTCTTGTTTGTGATATTTTTTGCTTGCTTTGTTTTGTTAACAAGTTTGTTTTTTAAATACATACATCTTTACGCACACCTGTATAAAGGGTATTGCCTTTCCATCCAGTATCGAACGTCTTGAAGTGAACACGCACAAAAACGCAAATTTTAACCCTAGGCGAGTCAAGGCGAGACACTCACCCCGTGAATGTTATGTATAAGTCGTATATGGGAGTCCTTCCAGAACCAACAGGCAAGGTTACGAAAAATATGTAAAAATAAAAGGGAAAACATTTATAGCACATGGTTTTGATCTATTTTAAAAATCTGATTGACACGCTGTTTCTTTCTTCGATAACTTCAGTGTCAAAGACTTTGATGAGTTCTGCAAAAACAGCACGTTTTTTGCTAATCTTTACTGATTAAAATCGGGATCTTGGCTAAGCAACATAGTAGGACGAAAAATGCTAAGAGAAGTTTATTTCTGACTTATTAAAATCTTTACCGTTTACCTTAAGAGGAGATTTTTTCCACGCTGGACGCTACGCTTCTAATGACAACGTCCGGTATGGAGAGGCCATCGCTTAATTAAAAGAAAAAGCTTTATGCTCGACATGGAGACGTTTACAGTCTCCTTTACATATTATAGCAAGTTTTCCTCTGCAAGTGTTTCGCTGTGATAAATCCCCCCAGGTTACATAGAAGAAAAATAAAATCTGGTAATTTTTTTCTCAGTCGGATACATGTCATGTCTGCAAAAGAGGCTCAAAGGCCCATCGTAACGGTCTTATTTCTTTTCATAGTACAGTAATTTCAATTCAGTTGTACACTTGCCAAATACTGTTTTAAGTATACTCTGAGACTGAACGATCTGACAGGTAGACAGCTATTTAAATATTCCCGTCACAGCTACCCAATCAAAGATACAATGACAACTGTTTCACTTTTGAAAGATCAATAAGGAGCATGCAAACTAAATATCGATTTCCGTGTTTAAGTGCACGGAAAAAAAATTTGAAATCCGCGCATTCGTTTATTGGGGACGGAGTGATGCAGTGGAGCTCAACGGGCAATTGGAACGACACTTAAATGATTTTGAAATTTCTAGCTGAAGTCAGAGCTGATGATATGGAATGGGTTACTTGATTAGCTTCAACGGAAGATTTCGACCTCGTGTTAATTAAGTTTAAGCTATATGTATACAGTATGTACCGTCCACGGTCATTTTGATCAAAAAAGTTGCGTCACAGAAATTCGAAAACTTGTCAGCCGAGATGTTAAAGGCAGCAAAGGAAGTATTTTCTCGTGTAGTCTTTTCCAAGAGGTGAGTATGAATACTGATTTTAAAAGATTATATCTCTAAGATTTCTGAAACTGAATGCTCGAATTAGCGCCCTGAAGAGCGCCGGATTTCGATTTCGATTCCGGCCGCAAAATAATTGTCTTTCCTTGAAATAAACACAAACCTATAACATTATAACACAACGTATCTGTAAAAAATCACTGATCTGTGTATGGTCGCTCTCATATTCCTATTTCCTTCTTTAGATCCTCTAAGTTCTATGTATTCTCCCTCTTTACCGCATATTTTCAGTGATTTTTCTTTGAAGGGTTAACACCGACTTTATGATGACCATACGTGTCAAACGAAACGTCAACGAGTCTTCGACGAAGATGAATCGACTATCCGAACAATTACGTCAGGAGTTTATCACGCCTCCAACCAGCCCAGTCCTCTACGTGAAGATCATCACTTCACTACTGAATGTTCAACGTGCTATGGGGAAATACGTTATGTATTTTTTTGGCTTATTCGCCGTTATATCTCCTTTGATTCGATGAAAG